GAGGCGTGCACTGAGTCAAGTGTTTTCGTGGCTGTGGAGATTAGCAGATTAAGTGGCATCATTTCTTTAGTCACTTGATGCATTGCAGTTCCTGGGGCTCCCCAAGAAGCAAAGCCTCCTCCCTCAAAAAAGCTGTTCTAGTGCAGCTACTTTATCAGGAAAGCTTTAATCCCTTTCAAAATGGGGTTTCCCTTTCTCCTAATCAAGTTCTTTCAAATCATGCGGACTTGAAATGGAAAAGATTAAGTTTAACCCGTTGGTAGTAGAGGGAGAGGGCTTAAATTGACTTTCATTCTAGCTACCTTGTGTCAAGACCCAGGAAAGCAGCTGTCTGCTCACAGTTCTCTCCCAATTGAACACCTCTGTTCATATTTCTTTTTCATTTTTTTTCCCCTTTTCCTTTCTTCTTGTTTCAACATGGAGTATTTAAACAAGTCTAAATTTAGAGTGGAAATTTAGCTGTGGAAAAAAAAAAAAGGAAAGAAGACAATGTAACCAGGCAAAGGCATTAATTAATGTGACACCTACATGTCTGCTTCTATAAACAACAGGTAGAGCATGCAGCTGAGATGAGCGATCTGCAGGCAGATATTTGCAGAGCTACTGAATGGAAGGAAGGTCTGAAAGGCCATGTTGGCCAGAGTCCTGCTGACATGGGGAAACTCTGTAGGCCAAACATGCATCCATCATTCACTGCTTCTGAGGCAACTTGAAATGGAGAGATTTGGGGGTATAGCACCTGCCTGTACCACCGGAGCTACTCTAAGGGTGAATCTGTACTCTGCAGAGATCTCAGTGAGGCACTCTGTACGTGCTGTATGTATTCAAACCAAGATCTCCATGTGACTGGTCACTCAACAGCATTGCCCCAGTGAGCTGCAGCATGTGAGGCTCAGTGGGATAGTGCTAGCTCTGACACTGTCGGACCAGAGAGAGGGCAGCGCACACAGGGGGCAGGGATTGGAATAGAAGTGGGGATAGGGATAAGGACGCTTCCCAGCCCCCAGCCTTGGGGCCTGTCTGCAGCATCAACACTACTGTAGGAGCAAGTCTGCAGCCCTTTTCACCCAGTAAATCCACTCTTCCGTGAAGTCAGCTTGCAGTTTCAACCCTCCTCTGAAACCTGATCAGAAGAGATTTGCATGGCCAGCCAGTAAGCCCACAAATAAAAGTGCTTTTCCGACACCGCCTCTGGCAAGGGTCCCCTTTTCCTGGCAGCTGCTGGACAGGCAGATCAAATTCCCTGCTGCTGGAGAAACACCTCACAGCTGCCTTCCAAACCACGCCAGGGAACAGTTAAATCTCCTCAGACAGGCCAGAGACTTCATCCTCATATCTCCCAAACAGGATACAGGCTCCAGCACTGTTGAGAAAGGAGCTTTTCAAGCACAGTGTTTGAGCAGGGTAGAAAGGAATTTCTATACCCAGACATTTGGTGTCCTGGTGTGAGACAGAGAGGCACAAGATTATGAGCTCAGATAAATGTATCTACTGTTAATAAGATCAAGTATGTTGTCCCCATCGTTCTTTGTTTTAAGTTATTGAAAATCAAAGCAAAGAATTCTTATTAGGCTATGTTGCTGGTTTAAGCTCAGGGTAATGGTACAGCAAAGATTTGCTTGGAGGTGCCGGCAGACATACAGCAAGTGCCTCCATAATGAAAACCAAGGGAGTACCCATCTTCTACAACCTCTTCCCAGTCCTGATATCCACAGTGCAGAAAGGACTCCATGTAGGCCCCAAGATATTGTCCTGAAGAACAGAGGGCTCATCCTTGCCCTGCTGCTTGGGCTTCCTGGGAGACACATATCATGGTGCCACGGGGAGGAAGTATCTGGTGACCAGCTTCAGGCAGATAAGCCTGGCATCAGGAGGACTTAATGCCCAAGGGGTCTAAGACACTGCCTCATCTGCTCTTCATCTTCATGAAGCTGCACACTTCGTTCAGGGCTGTCCCCTGTCCCCCATTCCAGCTGGTTTTCTGACAAAGAGAAGCTTGGTTGCTACCAGTTGTGTCTTGGCAACCTGTGCTGCAAGGAGAGAGGCTGCCTCAAAAGGCTGTGCCATGCACGGCAGAACTTTCTGATCAGCTTTTTATGGTGCTCAGTGTAAAATTTCCCTTTCCTTGTTTTCTCCCTTTCTCTTTGTATTTATCTTGCTATAAGACTGCACTTCAGTCTGCTCAGGCATTCCCAGATTAAGGTCATCATGTGAATGCATTAAGCAAATGAGGATTTCTGGTGTCTGTAACAAACTCACCTACAACACTGCTTAAACCAGTGTTTTGACTATATTTGTTCTTTGGCTGATCTTGACACTTGCCAGCACCTTCTTCTGGCAAGATAATCCAAACTGACCTCAGTTTCTAGTAAAACCAGAAACAAACAGAACTGGTAAATCTTCCCTATATTTATGAACACAGCACAAAATCACACTGGCACTTTTTATTGCCTCATGGTCTAGCAAATGTATTTCTAACTTGCTCCTCTCTCTGCCCCCATGTCTCTTGCAACCCTCCTCAGATGCTCACACTTCATTAAGGATTTTCTCTCATTCTTTCTCATAGGACTCATTTTCTTCTTCCCCAATGAGACCTGCTGTCATTTATCTCCTTCTTGTGCCTCAGCTGTGCTCACACAGCACAGTGCTGAGCTCTGCAGAAGCACCTCCACACACAATAATCCCATTAAGGGCTCTCTAGGCACCTGATATTTTCCAGTTTTCTTTGTTGTTTTCATTTCATCTTTGAATTCCCTTCCCTTGCAACTTTGGGTCATTAAGGGGTTAAGTGAGGTATACCTGTCAGGTGATATCCATTAAACAAGATCAATCCAAATAAAGGGATTTGGGTCTCCCTGTTTAGCGTGTTGCTACATCTCATTGCCTTTTCTACGGGTGTTTCAGGATTTGCTCAACACAGAGCAGGACTCTTTCCAAACCCATCTGGATTACACTGGGTCCCCGCTGCAAATAGCACACAATGACTGGAAAGGCTAGCACAAAGATGCTGCAAAATCACTTACAATAACTCTTTGCTTATGGCTCCCTGCAAAGTGGAGAGAAAATGTTGTATGTAACCCTGATTCTCCTGCCTTCAGCTTGCACTCAGATTTTTTTTCAGAATGTGAACTTTCATCGTCTCCTTCCTGAAGTATCCAGACAAGTATCCCAGCAGGCCTATACTCTACCCCTCATTTTTAATCTTGGTAAATGAGAAATGAGACCTTGATGATCAGTCTTTGTAGTCCCTGTTAGAATAAAATTCTCCTCTTTTCAGGATGCAGAGAGAGGAGGAGGAAAAGGAAGCAGCAGCTGTCTGACCCCATGATCCCTGGTGCCAGCACCATCTTCTTAGTCTGGGGAAGAGCAATCAGCTCCATCCATTCTCACAGGCAATATATTACACCCCTTGTCTGCAGAGAGTAATTGCTGGAGGAAGACATTTCTCCATGCTATGCTCACCAAAAGAGTCCTCTTGGGGCAGTCCAGATCTGTGCTGACTCCTTGTCAGGGTGAGAGCCCCCATGGCACGTTTTGGCCATTTAAGAAAGGTACTGGTATGATCTAGACCTGTCCACCTGTCACCTTCAACTGCTAACAATGCCATTTGCTGTACAGCCATGTGGTACCCCAAAGGCACTGTCACAAGAGTGTGAGTTTATATGTGCAGAAATTGATTTTTTTTTTTTGTAGATTTTAAAGTCTCAAAGAGTCATTTCAACCTTCCTGTGTAACCCTTTGCACAGCACAGATTCCAGCCCTGTCAGACCCACCATCTGCTTGAATAGGATCATAACTTAAAAGACATTTGGTTTGGAGTAAAGATTGCAGTAAATGCAGAAACCAGCCTATCCTGAGGTGAGTCAGCTCTGTAATGACTTAATTGCTCAGCCAGAGCTTTCAGTCTCTGCATCACACAATTTAACCTCCATTCCATGTATCACCCTTTAATTCCCTTATCTGTATTTTCTCTGCCACTTCTATTGTCCCATTTAACATGTGGCACCAACACTGCATTCAGCAGCACATCTATAATATGTGCTTTGATTTTACTTCAGTTGTTTGAAGTCACTTTGCCCCCTCACATTCTTATGAAAAACCTAATGATCTATTGTGGCTTTGCATTTTATAGAAAACAAACCATTTAAAACGTGGAGAAGAGGACTGGAAGTTATTCTAAGAGTGGGTTAACTCATAGCCGCAGAGTCAGGCTGCTCAACAGGTCACTCTGCTCGTTTATATCTTTCCACTGCTATATCTACAGTTATTTATAATTCATACTCCTCACAATGATAATGAGCTTTCAAAGCGTGCCCCTCATCTGACTGTGCACTTTGCTGCTCGCTGCTGCTCTTCACTTTCAGCCATTGTCTTCCTTTGATTCATTGGTCTCCAGACACTGATTAGGGGACGGCAATCTCAATTGAATCTTTCCCAAACTGAGAGGTTCAGCTATTAACAAAGCATCACTCACATGAGGAGGAGATCAGGTAATGGGTAGTCCTTCTGACTGCCCATCCCTTTCATCTCTCCTACATGAGGTGTCTGGACATTTCAACCGCACACAGCATTTGTACCCCAAAGTGATAGTGCTGGAGTGGGTACCCAGCATCCCACGCTATGGGTGGGTGAGATCAAAGGTCAGGGGGCTTTTTTGGTCCCGCAGCTGTGAACCCTTTAAAGCAGGCCGGACTGACCTCCGGCTCGAGAAGCTGAAACCCGTCTTCAGGAATCAGAGTAATCCCTGGTGATTTTATCCCACTCCACTTCCCTAAATCTGTGGCTGCTGCTGCTTGGCCAGGGGATTAAGGGGCTGCCAGGGGATTACGTAGCCGCTGCAGCTCGGGGCACAGAGCTGCCTCCTGGCGCAGCCATTGCTTGGGGCACGGGGCCAGCAGCATGGCCAGGGCTGCACAGGGACCCCCGCAGGGCAGCAGGAATGGCATGGATCCTGCACATCCCGCCGGCCGGGCCCCTCGCTGATGATTGGCACATGGAGAATGGACCGTGGAGCCATCCCGCTGCTGCTGCTCAGCTTCCTTTGCCTCCTGCCTGCCGCCCAGCTCCAGACCAAGATACCGCTGGAGACGTGAGTGCTTCTTCTCATTTTGAGGTGGGGGGGGGTGGGAGGGGGATGGCATTCCCTCCAGGTGATGCGAATAGCAGTGGTGATGGATGCTGGCAAGGACACAGGACAGGAGCCACAACTTCAGCTCCCAGCACTAGCACTGCTGTTGAAGCCTCATTTTCCCCACTCGCTACGCAGGGCAGTGACACCCATCTGCTCTAGTTAAGCACCTGGACAGCCACTAATGCTCCAGGATGTGGAAGGCAAAACCAGCTGATGGACACCTTCATCTCAGTGCAGGTGCAAGTTGCGGTGATACAGCCATGGAGGCAAACATAGGCAAGCCCAAAGCCCTCGCTCAGGGCTGCTTTCACGAGTGCTGCTTTGCAGTCTACAGGGATAGCTGTGGCCAGAATCCAGCCTCAGGAGGCACAGGAGATGGGTGGTTGGGTGAGGGCTTGTATCTCAGCATAAAAGCAAGACTGCTGCTGCTTTTACCTTATATATCAGCAGCACTAGCTAAGTGCACTGGAAGCTGATAAAAGCAAGGATGTGCTTATGCACACTTGTATTTATTCCATGTGGATGTCAGCAGGGGAATCTGAGCGGAGGACGGGGCCCACAGCTCCTTGTCTCACCTGCTCTGCTCTGCCTTGGTGTCCACCAGGAGGCTCAGAGTGCCTGGCAGGCCAAGCTTGTGAAAGCCTCACCTTGTTAAGCTGACTTAGGCAAGTTAAATCCTGTCAGGATTAAAAACGTCTGTAGGAGAATTGGTGGGGCAGTGGCTCTGGGGCTGAGATGATTAGTGTAGGGGAGTAGTTAGTGTGTGGAGGGGACAATGCTGCTGTCAAGTTTGTCTGCTAGACCAACCGAAGTCATCTCAGTGCCTTTTGCGGAGAATGAGAAGATGTTTTGCATTCAAAAAGTGCCATCAGGTCCCTTGCAGATATGCTCACCAACACAGCCCTCCTGATTGTTGGAACTGGATGATCTGTAAGGTGCCTTCCAACCTAAGTAAGGCTATCTATGATTCTGTGATTACAAAGCGTGGCACTGACTTCATGCGGGGGGCTCCAGGATGCTTTGCCACCAGGGTTTCATGCACCAAACCCTATACCAGCAAAGTGCTCCTGATGCTGTGCCACAGAAAAGACACAGAGGCCACACAGAGTGATGCCGGCCCACTTCACACATCTGCACAGCCCATTTGTCTCCATGGGTGATTTCGCTCCCTTTGAACTACAGCAGTGTCCCTATGCTCTTTAATAGCAATAGAGATGGGTAGATTTAGGTTAGATATAGGGAAAAAATATTTTACAGTGAGTGGGGTGAGGCACTGGAAGAGGTTGCCTAGTGATTGATGCCCTATCCCTGGAGACAACCAACGTCAGGTTGGATCAGGCCATGGGCAACCTGATCTACCTGTGGTGTCCCTGTTCATTGCAGGGGGCTTGGACTAGATGGCCTTTAAAGGTCCCTTCCAACTGTAAGCATTCTATGATTCTATGGGACTTCAAAAATCCAGCTGAAAGGAACTTCCCAGCAAAAGAGGCGGTTTCTCCCTAAAATTGTTCCCCTCTTTTCTTCTCTTAGCTCCATCAGATAAATTTCAACCTCTATTGTAAAATAAAATTAGAGTTCAAACTCAAAAATAGAATTAAACCTCTATTGTAGAATAAAATTCAACCCCCAACAGCTTCAGGCTATGCAAAATAAAATTGACTCTCTGTGTCCAGAGTGAATGCTGCATGGAAATACCTTTTGGCCTTGAAATCGGTGGCATTAAGAAGACAGCCTGTCCTTTCTGCTGTTTTCACCACTGAATACAAGTGCAGGGATTACAGGCAGGCAATCTCTGGCCAAATCCTTTTCTGATGCGTGTGGTTATAATGTAATAGCCCTTTACTAGTGAGAAAATGGTTGCGTCACTTTGCACAATTTGGAACTTGTTCATATACAAGAATAAAGAATAAACAATAGAAAAAGAGCTTTTCTCCTCTGGTGCCAAAACCAGACCAACAGCTGAATTAATCCCTTGTGTTTCAAATCCACTCATGAATTTGACTGCAACACAAAAGTTGCCCTTTTCAAATATAATTTCAGGAGAGGAAGACATTGGCCAGAGGAGAAAAGAAAGTAAATCAGTAGAAAATGGAGCTGCTCCACAGATTACATGAGGACATTTTGGGGACACGAAACCAAAAGCTTTTAAGCACCAGCTGGGTTTGATCACTGGAAGTGACACAAAACTTAGTTACCCTCTTCTGCCCCCAGAGTCATGCCTCCCCAGAGTCAGCACTGCCCTCGGCTCATCACCGACTTACCTCTTTGCTGGCTTTAATTCCAGCACTGCAAAAATCTGCTCAGCACATTGCTAGCTTCTGGGATACAGATCCAGCACAGAAACCACCTGCCCTTTTCTCCTGGCCTCCACTTGATTTATAAGCTGGCCATAGCACAGGATTTCTTGAGCTGCAAGGGCACTGAGTGTTTGGGCTGGCTTCTCAGCCTCTCTTTGTTGGGGTGCCAGAAATGTTAGGAACTTCTGTGGGGAAAGGTGAAATTCAACCTGGAACAGGCTCCTGCCGTAACCACCTCTATGCATTTTCTTCATCCCCCATGAAACAGCACCATGTATTTTAATTCCCCACTCATCAGCCCTGTCACATAGAGCCTCTCTTTCCGCTTTTTCCTCTTTTTCCTCTCTTTTCTTTCTTTCCTCTGGGTTTCCCACCACTGCTCCCACACTCCAGGTGCTGGCCCTCCCCGCCTTGCTCATCCTTCTCCCTTTGCTCCTCCTCTTACTGTTGCCTGTCCCTCACATAGTGGGTTTTGCCATGCGGATCAGCAGAACATGAGCCCCCAACAGGAAGGGCAGCTCAGACTTGGCCATAGTGTGCAGCCTGAGGCCAACACTCAGCACCTCAGGGACAGGCTTAGGAACTGTGAAAATGCATACATCCCAATGCATTCTTTCCCCTAAGTTATGCTGTTACTGGATGTTTCAACATTCATGTGTTTAGGCTTCTTTTACCATGGCCTCAAAGGCTAAAAAATGAACTTCCTTTTTCCCGTTTCTATGAAAGCTGAGAATCCCACATAATCACGTGGCTTCAGGATTTTACAACCCAGCAGCTCCCTGAGCATTGAGGCTGGGTTTTCCACGAAGCCCTGTGGTTGGCTTCTCTACCAACCAGTAATTGCTAAGCTCATATTGCAGACCCATCGTCTCAATAGCAGCATCGTTCTGCTGAAGCTGTCCAACTACACCCACTGGTCTGAACTTCATATCTCCGACTCTTGTACCCTGTGGAATAGAAAAATTACAAGAAGAGATAGGAAGAAGGTCACATGCATGGCCACAGACACAGCACAAAACAGAAAGTGTAGGATGACATGCCTCTGATTTATTTTATTTAGAAAAATAGGGTAAAAATCACTATTCCAAACTTCATGCTTAAGCTCTTTCTTTCTTCAGTGGAAGGTGAGATCTAGAGAGTATTAGTTAATGTCAGCACAGAACATCTCACACCAAAAAAAAGAACTATGAAACTAGCTGCTGTGTCAAGTTAAATACAGGTTCATAGATATTCAGGCAATAAGCTAATCACTGCAACAGTCAGGAAAGCAATCCAGGAGGGACTCATCTCTCTTTGTGTCTTCTTCTCTTTCCTTTCTCTAGAAATTGCTAGAATGACTGAACTGCAGCAGTAAATCCTGGCCTCCTACCAGGTACCTGTGGTCTTTTTGCTCTAAGAATGAAATGAAGAGATAAAATCTGCCTGTCAAAATAAGACCTAGGCCACAGTGTCCAAACAATGTAGCTGTACTTACTGATTTCAGCTGGTGCTGGCTTACAGCAGATGGAAATGAGTGCCTTGTTCACAATCGAGGAGTAGTTGCGAAGGGCTCTTGCTCGCATTGTGCCTCCTTCATAGGCACTGAGGAGGGGTACTGTTCAGGGCAGAAGTTTTACAGTGGCTTCAAATCATCCCTCATGTCTGCCTGCATTTACAATAGCAGAGCCTAACAGACAGGCTTCCTAGGCTAAAGTTAGTTGTTGTGGTTATTCCACCATTGCTGCGCTGCCTTTGCTCCTGTGTTCATCTTTTTGTCAGCGTATTACCCTGCCTTAACAGTGGTGCAATGTGCTGAGCAATCAGGACTTGGGATTAAAGCCTGCTGAGGGCTGGGAGGTACCTACTGAGAGCCCCAGGTAAGGCTGCAGCCCATAAATAAGTAGTGCATGCTAGTAAGTGAAGGCCCATTTATTTCATTAAATAAATCTCTCCTAAGTGAATCCTTGCTGAAGGAGCTGCATGTAGGTGGAACTGCCTAATGTGAATCATGTAACAGATTTCTGATGAAGTGCTCTGTCAATTATGAGAGCCATCTATTTTCATTTGGATGGCTCAGTGTTCAGACTGCTCTTCAACATCCTTATGTTCTCCATGTGGAATTGCTATCATCAGTTATTTACAGGATGGCACAAATGTGAGTAGTGTTTTACAAGGAGGAAGTGCATAATCTTCTCTGGCATTATGAAGCTGTAGTACCTCCTCTAAGAGCAGTACATTCATCTGGCTCATTAGTCTGTACCCTACACAGCTCTGGGGACTGAATCCAGTGGTGAGTCCTGACAATTTCTTTCAACTCTGATACTTACATCTGCTCAGCAGCCTTGATGTGAGCCCTTCACTCTAGGCTCTGTCTGTAATCAGTGGAGACAAGTATCTCCAGAGAACTATTTGTTTTGCTTTGCTAACAGTAGAAGAAACCAGATGATGTCTAAGACCAAACAAACGACTTTCACACCTCTAAAGGGAGTTGAGACAAATTCCACTTGGAATCAACAGGCAGTGACCAGGGCCAGCATTCACTGATACTCCTTGCTGACAAATGTCCTGCTTATCAGCGTTTTTCACCTTCCTTACTGCTTGTCTTGCTAACTGCTTGGCAAGAAAGCATTACTATTGCCACTCTACAAGTTTGAGAAATATGAGGAGCTTCATACTTAGAAAAATGGAGTTTTCATTGTAAAAAGAAGTAAGTAATTTACTACCTCTGGATTATTAGTACTGATTTTCCCTTTTTTTTTTTTTTTTAGGGTTAAGTCTTGGGCAGATGTCTTTGGTGGTGAGCTGTACTCAATTGTGACCAAGTATTCAGGCTCTCTCCTATTGCAAAAGGTAGGTTAAAACTGTGAGGATCCCACTGGCCTTGCACCCACTCCCCACATAGCCTTGCACCCTCCCCCTCCACTGAAAACCTGGGGTGGAATAAGGCGAGTACACAGCCAACTTTCAAAACCATGTGAGTTCATATCCATGAGAATAGTAATCTCTCATGGCTATGCCAAACTGCAGAGGGTGATCCACATCTTCCCTACTTTCATTAGCCATGGCCAAATGCCACAAAAATGTCCAGTTGAAAAAAAAATAAATGCGCTTTAGCAGTACTCCTCAAGTTCACCCTCTCATTATTTCACTCTCTTTTATGCTAACCCTTCAGTCCTCTTTAAGTGCACATCAGTCCCCGCCTCGTGTGCACATCGCTCATCCGTTTGTCATCACCCCACAATGCCCTCCTGCAGCTCTCCAGCTGGTGCTTTTGTTTATTTCTGCCTCCTCATTTGTATTCCTCCAGTAACTCTTCAAAGCACTTTCCTTGCATTTGAATTGCCTTTAAAATCATCGTTTGGACAGGGTCTCTGAAGCAGGTGTCCTGGAAGCTATGATCTTCCTGAAGAATAAGGACCTCTCCACTAAGCTCTCTGCCAACATTAAAGGATGCAGCTCTAGGGACTTAAAATAATTTTTCCCATTTACGCTCATATAGAATTTGCCCTGTAGTGTTTGATCACTAAAGTCAGAGGTGAATGGCTGCTCCTGTTCTGATCTTTGATCTCTGCACAGTGCTGCAGCAGGGCTGTACTAACCATCCCCTCCTAATTACTACTCAGGGGGCCTGATGGCTGCTGAGCACATCCGAGGGGATATGTTCCCTGCTCAATCTCGTGTGGCCAGCCGGTTTCTTTTCATTTCTTTCTCTGGTTCTTCTCTTCAACACAAGCCACGCACTGCCTATTAGTGCCTTAGGGTGACTGGTTTTTGTCCTTTAGTAACACCCACATCCCAGCACAAAAATAAATAAATAGATAGATAGATAGATAGATAGATAGATAGATAGATAGATAGATAAAATCTAGGTGCTAATGAGCCCCACATCTGGAGAAAGGGAAAGTCTTTGCTAGGCTTTCCTGAGAAAGGCCTTTAGTATTTGTCAAAGATACATGATGATTATCAGTCCTTCTTAGAAGGGATGTGTCACTGTACAATAAATAATTTTCAGCAGATACAGGCAAAAGTTTGCATTTTAGCAATTTTGAGGATTCAATTGCATGACGTCCTCAAGCAGTAGAGCTAGAGTCAAAGTGACAGCAAAGCTACAGCAGTTTGAGTGGACACCCAGTCACCAGTGGACAGTGCACACCCAAAATGAGGCTATCAAATAGTCAGTTATCTGTGTCTGGTGCTGTGTAGGTATTTGATGTCCAATAAGAAGTCTGCAGACTGTAGATTTATTTTTTTTTAATATGTTAAGGGTGCCACTTTATAGTGTCAAGAACTGTTGCTGTCACTGTCTTCTCCATGCTGCTCCGACACTGTCAACCTGCCCCAGCCCTAGCAGAGTGCTAGCAGATTAGGGGGTTTACACTCCTTAAGGTTCAAAAGTCAGTGGGACTTCAGAGGACAGGTTATAGCTTGGAAATGCCAATGTCATTACAAATCAATGGTGGAGGTCAAGGATAGCAGCCATGATCCTGAAGTGGGTTCCAGAATAGCTGTGCTTTGTTGGTTTCATGAAGGTGTTGCAGAGGATCATTTCACCTCCCTCTGTTCACACTGTTTACTTTGTCACTCAGGATCTTGATCTCTTTGGTGTAGGGGTTGTATGAGACCTGTAGATGCTAGTAGACTAGGAGTCACAGCAACCATCTCAAATAAAAATTCACAGCTCTGTTGGCTTTTAGTATAGTTCGTTGTGAGAGAAAAGAACGGATGAAGAAGAGGCCCAATGTAGCCAAATCCATTCTAGAATTCATGTTGAGGGTGGTCAAGGCATCTTCAGTCCTTCTAACAACCTAATCAAGCACAGAGTTGGACACTTTCTCACACTTCCCAAAGCAGGGACACTTCTGTAGGTCTTCCCTTAGTCCCTAACACAGTGCTGCAGACTAACTTCTTGCTAACAGGCAAAATGTTCGTGCCTCATGCATCAGTACCTAAGTGGCTTCAGACTCCAAGTGGCTTCATGGAGATTGCTGCCCCAGTGCAAAGAGTGCAAGGCAGCCTGGCCAGAGGAGCCAAATGTGCCCTAGAGATAAAAGTGTGCGTGCTCCCCAGTTACCTCTCTCATCTGGGACCACTGCCTCTTGTTCATATGAAGTATTTCTCTTTGTGCAAGAGATTCTCTAAGTACAAGGGTGGGGAGTGCAATGCAGAGTGCCAACAATTGTGTCCTCGGGGCTTTTTTAAGTCAATGGGCATTTTCTCTTTGAGAAAATATGGAGACAACTGCACCTTCCAAATTTGATTTCATGTTTCCCCTGTGACTTATAGGTAGTATATTAAAATAGCTAGTTTATTGTTCTGAGACCTGTAATTCCTTCGTTATCTGAATGTTTTGCATGTTTTTGCACCTTCTCCTTACTTAGCATAAATTTTCTTCTGGGCTTAGTTTGCTTGGATTTCTTTGGATTTTTTTTGTTTCCCTCCAGAAGAAACTAAATACTATATTGCAAACCCAAATCTTCTATTTCCCACCAGGCTTTATTGCTTCTGGAGAACTGGTGAGGCAGTAGATATCCTTTGGTTTTGGAAGGGCAGGCTCTCATCCTGGACCAAGCAGCTTTGAGAAAGTCCCAGGTGGCTCTTGGTCTCAGGCAGCCAGGATGCTACCAAATTTAACCTCAGAGAAACAAAAGCTTAGGAGTTGTTTTGATTTGATGGCTGAAGCATTCATATTCACTTGGACATTATGCAGTAGAGGTCAAGAGAAGCTCATGTACCAGTCTGGTATGTGAACCTGGCTTGCTGATGGATCTACACCAAAACACTGGCTAGGGTCTAGGACAGATGACAGCAACATAGCTGGGGTCAGGTGATGATGTGGGAGGCTGAGTAGGAGGACAGTAGCATCTCCCACAGCTTTAACCTTTGGCTTGTTATGTCTGCTGGCAATAGCCTTGCTGCAGCTGTTGTCTAGGGCCTGGGGCCACCAGCTGCAGCCATGCTGGGAGGTCCCTGTGTGGTTTTAGGCTTCTCCCCAGAGCTCAGCTTGCCTCTGAGTGAGGCAAACACTAATCAATCTCAGCAGACCCAGAATTTATTTTTTCCTGTGCTACATTAGCATGATATAGATATTTCTGGGAATTCCTCTCGCTTCCTTCTGAAGCTGAGGAGACAGTTGCCTTCCTTGGTAGATAGAGCTTAGAAAGGACAGCAAGACTTTGTTCCAGATGTGTGATTACTATAAAGCAATGCAGGTAACTACAAAGCAGAGAACAGAAAAATAAGTTCAATCAAGACATGTTTCTGGATGAAGATGAAAGCAATGTCTTTCACACCCTTAATATAGTTTCACTAGCGGTGAGTAATGCAACACTACATACTTCAATGGGCTTAATTTTAAGAAGGTGGGAACAAGAAAATATATTTGGTGACATGTCTCTGTTCACAGTTAAAACTTTAGGTACTGAATTCTAGATCTTCCGCTTTCAATTTGCCACCCCCACAGAAGGAGAATCTTAATGAATTGTCCCTGCTATTTCAGGGAGTGAAGCACCAGAGGAATGTGAAAGAATGTGTTATTTCAATTACCTATTTGGTGCCTTCTCAACATCAGCTGACTGCAGCTCATTCTCCCAAGCCTATAGCTGATTCCCATGTTGGAAAATATAATGATTTGATAACCTGAACTTGTGTTGCAGCTTGGTTGAACTTGGTTGGCAACAAGTACCAGTGATGGCACTTACCATGTTCTTTGTGCCATGGAATCTGGTAACAATACTGAAATTAAAGGTACAACCCTGTTGCCTACCTCTGGGAAGCCTTGCAGTGAATATTCCTTAATAGCAGGAGCCTTTAGTGGCAGGAATACAGATACAAAATGGTTTTATGGATTGTTTCTAGGAGAAAAGCTCAAGGGGGATCTGAGCTCAAACCCCATTTATTCCTCACAATAGCTAATTGAAATTTTGCAAAAAATTTGCCACATCTTCCCAGCACTGGCTAGTTCCCAAGGCTGAGATGTGTATGATATTAGCAGGCTGCTTGAGTTAGCTTGTGATTATATTATGTTGTTAACCTCCACTTTTCAGTGTGTTAAAAGCACACTAAAAATAATTGAGAGGTAATGAACCCTGCTTTTCTTAATCTAAGGACTGACCCAAGGTAGCTGCTGGCAGGTCACTTTGTGAAGTGTACGATGGCTGTGCTAGTGCATTCTCCCCCCATCACTGCTCTCCCAGGAGAGATTAGTCTCCTCCCCCCGAGGAAGGCCTGATTAAACCGTAGCAGAGATCACCTCCCTCCTGCTGAAACCATGACATGGAGCTAAATGGGGCAGGCACCAGCTGGGTGCGTGCTGCAGGCTGGTCATCAGCCAGAGCCCTCCCTCTGGGGCTGCTGAACCTCCCTCTTTCAGCAGTGTGGTTATGCCAACCTCTCTGCTCGACCTGACCTCTTCCTCCTCCTCCTCCTCATCCACCACTGGCCCAGCTATCAGCTGCAGCAGAGGGAATGTGAGGCATTTTTAATCCAGTAAAACCCTTGCTGTTAATCACTGCAGACAGAACTAGCAGCCTCCCCGCCATGCCTGCTGCAGACTGGTTGCTGCTGCTATTTCTGTTTGACCACCTCAGCCTCCAGGGCATTTCTTACTCTGCCTGTGCTTGTTTGCCTTCCCAAGTGGTCAGCGAGCTACTTGAACAAAAGGAGCTGTGCCCACTCACCCCCAAGACATGCAAAGTCCTTTCCCCACCACTTGCCTCTAGTTCAAAAGTGCCACTAAAGCTTTTGCCATCTTCTCGTTCTTTTCACTTCCTCATATTGTACTTGCAAAAAGAGCACATCCCTAGTGAGATTGCTGCTGTGGTGCCAACAGAACATGAAGCTTGTATGAGCTTTAACAAGACCAAGTGCCAAGTCCTGCACTTGGATCACAAACAAACTCATGCAGTGCTATAGGTTTGGGTTGGAGTGATTGGAAATCTGTAAGAGGAGGAAAAGGATCTGGGGGTGTTAGTTAACAGCTGGCTGAACATGAGCCAGCAGTGTGCCCAGGTAGCCAGTGTGCTACCAGGCAACCTGGCTTGTATAAAAAATAGTGCAGCCAGCAGAACTAGGGAGGTGATCATCCCTCTGTATTCAGCACTGGTGAAGCTGCACTTCAAGTATTGTGTTCAGTTTTGAGCCCCTCTCTGCAAGAAGGATGTTTAGGCTCTGGAGTGTGTCCAGAGAAGGGCAGTGGAGCTATGATATGGAGCACAGGTCTTATGGGGGCAGCTGAGGGAACTGGGATTGTTCAATCTGAAGAAGAGGAGACTCAGGGAAGATCTCATCATCCTCTATAGCTCCCTGACAGGAAATTATGGTGAGGGGGGATGAGAGGGATAGTCCTAAACTGTGGCAGGGGAGGTTCAGGTTGGATATTAGGAAACATTACTTCTCAGAAAGAGTGGTGAGTCACTGTAACAGGCTGCCCATGGAGCAGTGGCAGAGTCACCATCCCCTGAAGTGTTTAAGAACCGTCTGGTTATGGCCCTGAGGGACGTGGTCAGTGGGCATGGTGGTGGTGGGTCAGCAGTTGGACCAGAAATTCTCAGTGGTCTTTTCCAACCTTAATGATTGCATGAGAATGGAGGGCATGTGTTTGTTCTAAAGAGAGATATGATGATGGGGGAAGTTCAATTTGTGCCCTTCCACCAAACTGTTCATCATTAATCAAATTGTGTTTTTTGCTTGATTTTCCCTTTTCTTTCAGCTTATCTGTTTGTTAGCTATGGGACTTTTTTTGAAAAGGAGAAATAAAGATTGGACAATTACCCAGTTCAGAAGTGTTCCCAGGCTTTTAATGTCTTCATTAGAGGGAGCTATGCTGATAATTCCTAGGTATATTGTCTTTTTAAGCAGCCACAAGCTCATAATTGGATTGTTTGCTTTTACTTAGTGCTTCAGGTTCTGATCAGGGATCTGCATGTGCACAAATTACAGAGTAAAAAGGGAAGAAACGTAAAAATGGGAGAAGAAGGTAAATTGTGGTGGTTCTTTCAATACATCCTTTGTCACCAGCGACAGTGTCCAGCTAGCAGTAATAGTTTCACCCCTCCTTAAGGACCTCCTGCTCAGCAGGGTTTTCTGCTTTCCCTTGGGCAGAAATACAAAGACGTGGAGCCAACCCTGAAGATCAAAGAGGTGGATGGCCTGGAGCTTGTAAAGAAGTTCTCAGAGCAGATGGAAAGCATGCTCCGCAGGAAGGTGGAAGCTGTTGAGGTATGACCATGGGCGCTGTGGATAGGAAGTCCCCTCCCAGTGGCTCCAAAGCAGCCAGTGCTGGCCTCCCTCTGCCTGCACCAGGGGTACGTGGGCACTGGGGTTGTGTGAGGACTTCCTTGCTGAGCAGAGCAGCTGGCTTCTCTGAGCTTTAAGTAGACACTGGTGGGAGGACGTGGGCGTTCAGACAGGGGAATGCTGGCTGCTCTGTCAGCCCTGAGTAAGAAATAAGACAAAAACAAAGTCTGGGAATAAATATAAGGGAATTAACACTTTTCTCCTTAAAGGTGTTTAATTCTATAGCTGTTAGAAGAAAGGGAAAAGCCTCTGATAAGTGAAAATAAAGTTCATCCTTGCATGATGCCTCTGATAACTGAAAATAAAGTTCACCCTTGCATGATACCCTCTGGCCACTGAAGACTATAGTAGCTTGTTTCAGCTGTTTGTAGCTCAGGGGAAATTCCTGCAGCCCCTGAGCAGGAGCTTCAAGTAAAACACGGGTTTTCAGTGTACAAGGGGAAATGTGGAGTAGGTGGCAAATGGGCTTCAGATGTTGCTTTGTTGTAGATGAGGAGAGCAGGTAATCATTATGGCCCCTCTCACATCTAAGTATCTATCATATTCCTTTGTATTTACACACTATACAAAGCATATTTCTGTAGTCACAGAGCCTTGACTGTTTAAGACATCTAATGTGGAAAAGCCGTTCAGAAACACATCATTTGAATCTTGAAGTGAAATGTGGACATATTTAGATCCAGGGCTTTGGCTCATAATGTTAAATTCACAGCCAGACCTTTCCAGCATTTGGATTGCCTTACCCTTTGTGAAGGAGCACGAAGTATCTTTGCTGAAACTGTCACTAATTGTGCAACTCTGAAAACATGTGCATTCTTATCTGGATTCCTTCCCAGTCTGCATGTGAAGTGAGAATTAGTGCCCTGAAGCATCATATTGGAGAATGCTAGTGATTATATTGGTACCATAAATGGTCAGATCTCATAAACAGCCATAGCATCACGGAGTCCTTTACGAAACCAAGTTACAGTCTTTTTTCTCAGCAACAATGGCAGTCTGAGACTCCTTTTCTTTTGACAAGTTACTGACATCAGTCTGGGTCCAAAATGCCTTTCCCATGGCTTTTTGAAAGGGTTCATGGACAATGAAATATATCTGTTTTTCGTCTAAATGAATATGTCTCTATTTGTGTGTACATGTCCTCCAATGACTGAGACTCTTTGAGAGGCTGTTAGGGACTCCAGAGTAAGCAGGTGTAAATGCACTCAGCAATAAAAGATGTGACTATAACTTCCAAGTCATAAAGCTGCAGCATGGGATGACAGCAGAGGACAGGGAGTGTTTGCAGCCCTGTGTCTTTGTTGTAGTGAAGGGGGCAGTCACATGTCTTTTCATTATATGAGTTGGTGGTGGAAAAGCTTCTGGGGACTTCCCACAGCCTCTCTCGTCTTTCTTTATCTGTTTGCATTAGAGGTTGGTGGAAGCAGCAGAGGATGCAGATCTGAACCACGAGTACAACTCCTCACTGGAGGTAAGCTGGTCCCCGTCAGTGACAAAATATGGTGCATATCTTCATAAGGACCAGGCAACAGGCTGATCTAGCAGAAACCTCCCATCTCTGGCACCTTATGCAGCACACCTGACACTCTATCTTGGAGCCAGGTTAGGAGTATCCTTGTCTTCAGAACACTCAGCTCATCTAGAAATCAACACAACTCTTTGGGCAGATCCCAAGCCTAAGTAACACCTAGGGGATTAGTCTCTTTAGGATGAGAAGGGTTTGGGAAGACATTGGGTTGCTCGATGTTACAATTAAGGTTTTACCTTTATTGCACACCAGCATTGTCATTATGTGACGCATTAGTGCAAATTATCTGGTGCTTCCCTGTTTACTTGCCTGGGAAATTAGCTAAAAATTGGTGTATGAGCAACAGGGAGGGTCCTGCTGCAAAGGTCGTAATGTTATTAATACCTGTAGCAAACTATTAATCCCAACGAGCAGAGTTTCTCACCAGCTGCCATTGACTTTTCTCCAGCTTGCAGACACATACTTGTCAATACTTCCTGTTGGATGAAAGTTTGGTTCTGTCTATGCAATTTGGATAATTGGCTTTCCTTTAGTAACTGTTTGTAACTAAGCAATGGGATTATTGCTGGTGAAGGGAATTGGAGTGCAAACTGATTATTGAAGTTCATTATCCACACTGTAAGCAATGAGTGCATAGCAGAAGTGCAGGCTACTGTTAATGCTAGGAAAGGCAGGGACTGAAAACGCTTCATGAAACCAACCCAGATATCAGTTTTGCCTCTCTTACTCATTTGTTTAAGAATCACATTATAGTCATATTTCTTGCATCAGCTGCACTCGCAGTATCAAGGCACATGGCCCTTTATTCACACACACAGTTCACACCTCTGAGTACTGATAGTACTTGAACATAATAAGACTTTAAAGGGCCTCTTGCCTCAGATAAAGTGAAAAAAAAACACATTAAAAATGGCTGTTATCCAACAGGGAAGACTATCCTGAAGATTCTAACATGTCGGCAGCTGCTAAATCCCCAGAGGGCCTTAACAGGGGAGATTTGTGTTGTCTTTGAGCACCTTCTGCTTTGTCCTTTGCTTTTGATGAGCTTCTGCTGCCTGGAGTGACAGTGAGAGGATAATCCAATCTGAATGTACATCAGGAGTTAACTCCAGTACATGACAGTGGTAGAGACAGGGCGACTAAGGTCAGAAAAGGCATGCAAACCTGAGAGCCAGACCCAGTGAGGCACTCCACCTTTCCGGACAGCAGCTCAAATGCTGCTGAGTGACCATGGCAATCTAACACTGCATCCCTTTGCTCTTAGGAGGCTCTTTGGCAGTTGGCTTGATTATGCTTGAAACCTGCCAATAAGAAACTGGCAGAAACCATCATTTGGGCAGCTTGACACGTTTCATTGGTAGAGGCTGTCATTTGGTACTCATCTTGATTCTAGCTGAAGCCCGCATTCTCCAGATTTCCCTTCTTTTTTATAGGTGAAAGAACATTATTTTTTTCAGGTAGTACTGATCTCTGTACTTTCATAGTCTTTTTCATTATCTTCATTAACAGTTTGATTACTACAACTCCCTCCTGATTAATGAGAAGGATGAAAATGACAATTATGTGGAGCTTGGAGATGAATTCATTCTGGAGCCAAATGAGCATTTCAATAACCTGCTGGTAAACACAACATACAGTGATATCCAGCTCCCTACGAATGTCTACAACAAAGGTAATGGATGGCTGGCCTTTACTTTCTCAGTCCTAGTAGGATGGTGTGAAATCTAAATGGGAGTAATAATACCAGAATAAAGGATGAGGAAAGGAAAAACAAACAAACAAACCAGGTCTGGAAAGGTATTTTCTGAAGACACAGTTATGCCCATGCTGCAGTCTATCACTGTGACAAGACTCAGGTGTAATCTGCTCTTGGAAGGCCTCTAAGTGATACACTGTCCTTCATTTTAGGTAGGCAGTGTAGTCTGTAGGATTCATCTCTATAACCAGAGATGCTATGAAATGAAATGTGATGTGGATTTATTGGAAATTGCTATTCTACACAAAGAGTCTGATCTATCAAGATGTTTAGGTGTCAAGGATCTCATTGATTTCAGCTGAGAAAATAGATCCCAAGTATTTTTGGGTTATGAGAGCCTAACAACTCATGGAGACACTCTTAATTCCCAGTGAGCACACTCAAAGAGGGATGCTGACAATTCACAGCTACTACTGGAGCATGACTGTTCTGGGCTATTTGCTTTTCTCAATAAGACTTTAGTAGCTGCAGGAGACCAGGAAGACCCTGAGGCTCATATAGCCTCATTTCAGCCCAGTCTGTCCTTTCTCCCTTGCACACTGATGCCATTCCACCTATGCACCAGGGAATAGTCCGTCTTCAAGACAGTGCACACACTGCAGAAGCTGCTGGCTAGAATCTAGTTGTGACTGTCCTAAGTTTGCTGCTGTGTTTGGTCAACACACAAAGATGCTTTGAACTGGCTCCTTGCCTGGCACCCAGTTGGTTCTTCCTGTTGAATGCATTTGGGAAACAAACAAAAAATCCATTATTTCTTTCATAGATGGAGCTCTTTTACAAGCCTCAGGACCAGATGGGGCTGGCACTGTTGACTGAGCTTACAACTGGTACATTATTTAGAGGGACAATAGAAGGAGTTTCATTTCTCGCCAGATTTTAAATTAATTTCATCTGGTCTGAGACCCCCAGACACAAAAACTTGCATACAATCAAGCCACCAGCAGGGCTGGCTGCAGCTGAGCATGAGGCAGGGAGCTGGCTGCAGTGGCACACGAAAAGGTGGCCAAATGGCTTCTGTCGGAGACAGCAGCGATGCTATACCCAACTATCTGATTACTTGTCTGTACAACTGGACAAAAAGCATCCAGCTGCTCTTGCTGCAACTGGAGAACAAGCAGGATAAGGAGAAGGAGATGGTGAAGACCATTTCCACACCTGGGGCTCCTCTCAGGAGCAGGCCTGGCAGCATTTGCTCTTTCTGTCATGTATGACAGTGGGCTCAGCAAGCTTTTGCTCTCCAAAGCTCCTTTGGTTCCTTTCCTGCATGAGCTACTTTGATCCTCTCACTGGGGAGCCACTGTTAAATTTTGCCCCTACTTTGAAATGACTAAACAGGAAGTGGTAGGTCAAATTCCTATCCTGTTTGACATTAATACTGTTAATCCTGTTGTGACCATTTTCCTGCAATTCCCTTCTATTGCTGCTGCTCTGTTTGGTCCCCTGAGGCAATGACTCAAAACAGACACTGCATGTACACTGCTTCCTACGACTTCACACAAATCTGCAACTTTTTATTGGTTCTGATGAGACTGAGGGCAAGGGAGGACAGCTCAAGCTTTCTGAAGGAGAGGGAAAGCAAGGAAGAAAAATGTGAGGAAAAAGTGGAGAGACAAAAAACAGCATGTAAAACCTAGGGCTCCTCTGTCTTGGGGAATTGCATCATGGGGACTAAATTTAAACACTGCAGAAAGGCTGTTCCACTTAGTGGTAAGCAATTGCTTACATCAGCTCAGGCCTGTCTGTGCTCACTTGCTTATCATCTCTAGTCTCTCAGAGCCCTCTTCCAACTGCGTGTAACAGAAATGGGGATAATGCCCAGCTGGGAACACCTCCAGCCACCAGGGATGACCTGCCCTCCATAGCTGGCTTAAACTATGCATTTTACTCCCTCCACTGCTTCTACTGAAGAGCTGCTGGTGAGGGGACATCCATCATTGTGAGGCACTGTGATGAAGAGACATGATTTTGGGCAGATCAGGAAGAAACACCTTTGGAGAAGGCTGTATTCCTCCAGAGTCATCTTCATTCCCATCCCAATCTGCATCCTGAAGGAGGGTGAGGCATGAGAGTCTCCCCTCCTATATATCCCTTTTTTGCTCATTTTCTATTCTTTTTCTCTGCAGATCCTGACATCTTGAATGGTGTTTACATGTCAGAAGCCTTGAACCCTGTCTTTGTGGATAACTTTGAAAGGGATCCTACGCTGACCTGGCAGTACTTTGGCAGTTCTACAGGGTTCTTCAGGCTCTACCCAGGTAAGAGCACAGCCATCAGCCCAAGTCTTTCAGCACAGAGCAGGATGGAGCAGAGCTGTGTGAGAGCCCAGGATGGGGATAGCATGTCCTCATGAAGGACAAGGTGTGGTGAACCAAAAGTCTCACTGCTACCTTAGGCTGAAGCAATAGCATCCATAGCGGGCATAAAGCCTTATTTCTTTCCCGGATTGGCCACCAGGTATGCTGCACTTAAAGCCCCAGAGAAGCCTGTTTGTAGGACTGTGCCTTGGACAGGCTGCCCTACAAAGAAGCTTACTGGACTGGGTGTAATCTTTTCACTTCCATGCTGTTTTTAGTTGCAGTCACAGTGCCACAGCCCTTTTTCATGCTCAAGGCCACACATGCCCAAAACAGTTGCTCAGCCTGACTTACCTGATCACCAGTTCTGAGCATTGTGTAAGGTCACAGCACTAGAGGGAGGGCCCACGCACACTTGGAGGAGGCTGGGAGACCCTCCACAGCTGCAACGTGACCTGGTGGCCTCTCTGTGAGATGGCTGTGTGCCCTTGCTCTATGACCTGTCTGCCAAGTGTTATGGAAGGGAACAGAGGGATGGCTGAGCAGAGCCTCCAGCAGGGAACATAGGACACATTGCTCTCTCTGCAGCTGCTGCCTTATGCTCTTGATGAGAAAAAAAATGTGGAGAACTACATCAGAATGTTTAAAGTAAGTGCAACTGCTCCTCAAATTTTACCAGACTACAAGGAGACACCAGCCAACACCTGACAATGTTCATTAATAAAATTTTAATAGTTTTCTGGGAACTGCTGAAGACCACAGAACTCTGCTAGTGCTTTGGATACACTGGCAGGGAGTCCACGCCTGTTTATGTACATGCTGATTGCTCCCTTTGCTGCTCCCCTCAGGAATAAAGTGGCTACCAGATGAGAATGGGGTCATCTCCTTTGACTGCAGGAATCGTGGCTGGTAAGCATTGTGGAGAAAGTTGGTTCTCCCCTCTTCCTCTTTTTCACAGTGACACCTGAGGAGCTGCTGAGCAGCAGTCACTGTGCCATGCTGTTCATGAAGGAGAAGGGTACATAACTAGAGGCTTGACACTAGACAGTGCCAACTTTCCATAGGGGATCTGACCTGTGCCACGTAGAAAGTACCACATGTGCTTCCTTCTTAACCTGCAGCTAGAGGAATGGGACTGTTTACACAGAAAGGCAGGCATTTGCTCAGTTTGTTCAGCACAGCTAAATGGCATAAGTGTAGTATAGTAGCAGTTGTCACTCTTGCTGAAACCTGGACATATGTCTGCAGCTGTCCCAACTCTTGTCCATGTGTGAAGAGGCTGGAGCCACTGGGAGAGGCAGGTGGGTAGCAAGAGCCCTGCTGTTGAACAGCTGGACCCTATGGGATAGCCATACTCACAGTGCATGTCATGCTGTGGCTCACATCACCCAGATGCGTATGCCCAGAAATCCTCCACTCCACTCTTTCATGGTTTCTTGTATTCCTCTTTTTACCAAGGTACATCCAAGCAGCCACCTCTCCCAAGGACATTGTCATCATTGTGGATGTCAGTGGAAGCATGAAGGGCCTGCGGATGACCATTGCCAAACACACCATTGTCACCATTCTAGATACCCTTGGGGAAAATGACTTTGTCAATATCATTGCAGTAAGTATGTCTTTGGTCGGGATGCACTGGTGCTACTCTCTCCCTTTTCAAGACCCTGGCCATGATAAGAATGGTCTGATTATCCAGAGAGAACCAGCACCAATGAACACAAAAGGAATTTTTTTCCATGATTCACAGTGAGACTGGGGGATTCTGAGTCAGGTTAGAGACAAATGACTGCTCACCTTTTCATTCTCAAAGCTAATTCAAGCACTGCCTCTTTCACCAGGCTTTCTATACGAGTCTGCCAAGGCACAATCACCAAGATATAACATCTACTTTTCATGGCAGCTTTCCCATTGTGTAACATGGTTAGAAACTCCAGTGGTGACAGCTCTGTCTTTATATGGATGAACGGAGGGAGAGATGAATAGTGTTGGCAGATAAAAGGAAGGAAATTGTTGAAAAGATGTAAATATAATCTACTCTTAAAAAAAAAAATAATCACAGAAAGGTCAGGTGATGTTACACCTACACTAAGAGCCTTCTGGTTCAGATATATTACAGCCTGGCCTAAGGTCCCATTGATAAGCTGAGCATTGGTAACCATCAGTAATTACCACCTTAGTCCATTACAAATGTACTCATCTGAACCTTAAAGGAAAGGGTTTATAATGGCATCTCCTTTCTCACATAAATATCAGGCTGGAAGCAGACACTGCACTAATAATTGTAATTCAGTGGATGTGGGGTAACTTAATATATCATTATTTAGCTGAGTATCAGAGACATTGACTGCTGGGCTATAAAACCATTGACAAGGTTCATCTTATGACTGGGGCTCGAAGTCTACAGAAGTCAAAAAATATGTGCAAATATTATAAACAATTGTAAGAAGGGGCACAAGCTTGCAGAGCATGGAGATCTCTAGAGTCTGAGTGGGAAAAAAATTATTGTATATGTGGATATGCCCAAATGTAATGCAGCAAACCCTATAATTAACAAATTATTTAAACATACATGGGTTTTATCAAAATTGTATTTTTCCTTGATTACTGCAAACAATTTGAAAGGGAAACATTTATAAAATGTGTTAACGATTAATAATGCTTTTCAGCCTTCACCCAGGACATTGCACCAACTTTCTTCTCATTTTATCTTTGCAGTACAATGATTATGTTCATTTTATTGAACCCTGTTTTAAGGGTATCCTGGTCCAAGCAGACAGAGACAACAGAGAGGTAAGTACCAGGCTTCCACTAATGCTATCTAGACAAGGCAGCGATAAGTGGTAAGTGCGTGGAGTTAAGATGCTTCAACATGAAACTCTAAGAGCAAGAAACAGTTATCTCCTAGAAGCATGTAGGTCTGTATTTCAGAAGCAAGCACCAGCTCAGTGGTGTGTACTGGCTCTGGTTCAACTTTGCATAAAGGTACCATGACATTGGGTTAATTTGTTGCTAAATGGCAGCAACCACTTCACATCATTCATCAACTTTCTCTCCAAATTTCTTTCCCAGCCTAGCTCTGGGCTGCAGAGTACGCCCTCAGAGGGTGACATCTCCTTGCAGCGTTTCCCAGCGGACCCTCATTTATTTTGGACCTTGTCCATTTTGTGGAGAGCACTCTCTGAGGGTTTTGTCTCAACCAGATCAAAGCCAGCTTGAATGCTTGTTTTCTTCTTCTTTATTCTGTTGCTCTCACATGCACAGGAATGTCTGTTGGTGTTGTTGTCATTTTTCCTGAAGGAGTGGATAGATGAAAGTCTAATTTCTAATTTTTATTTTTTTTTTCCCCCTTTTGGGATGTTTCACGGTCCACTGGGACTTCACAGTCCAAGGGCTGTGCTCTGTAATGCAATGGTTCTGCTAACAGCACAGCCGCTTCTCCACCTTCATCCATGGCGGTGTGACACTGCGCTGCCAGCGATGAAAAAAGGGTGGGAGTCCACGAGTATGGACTCTCCAGGTCTCCCTTTCTTCCCTCCTCCAAGGATGAGCCTACCTGCAGCTCATCACTACTTTTCTGGGTTCTTGACAGCATTTCAAGCAGCTGGTGGACGAACTGCAGGCAAAAGGAGTGGGAACGGTGAACAAGGCCTTGACAGAGTCCTTCAAAATCCTGAGGGAGGTAAGAGGCTCTGTGCTGATGCTCACACAGGGCACGTGTATCCCTGCTCTCTCCTTTGTATCTGATGTAGCATATTTACCATGATGCTATGGGGAGAGTTGATACGGGTTGTGCAAACTACTCTGATGGGTTCTGAATTTGTGACAAGAGTGACCAGGTGTAGGTTTGTGTGTAATGCTGCTAACCTGCCCAGGATGGCAGTTGAGTGCCCAGGGGAGCAGTGCTCGTGGGTATGTAGACCCCGCAGATGGGGGGACATCTCCTCACTTGGCCCCACTGAATCATCCCCTCCTCCTCCTCATTGCTGTGTTTCACTGGCTCATCACAGGCCAGGAGGATTTTGGCTGTGATAAGATTCATAAATAATTCATTGCCTTATGTGAACATTTGTGATTTCTGCTTGGAGGTAAATGTGTGACTGAATTCCATTCCTTAAGAAATATTAACCAAAAAAGGCTGCTGGATACCCCATCCTCCTCACTACTTTGTCTGTAGTGAGTTAGGTGGAAAAAATTCCATGCCCTTGGTGCTGGCAAAATATATGTAGCAGTATGATGCCAGTGGTCCAAATAAGGATGCTGATGTTAAAGGTTGTAACAGAAATGTTGGCATCCTGGGAAAGATACTCCACTCTTACTCATTTTGCAGACTGTAAGTTTAAGCTCATTGACTATGCAGTGACCATGTTCCTAATTTATGCTGGTGCAAGTATGATCAGAGCTGAATCAACCAGTGGTGGTGACTGAACTGACTTGGCAGCAGTAACTAAAGCTTGATGAACCTAACGGCTACCTGAGAAGACTAGTTTAGCATCATCACTGATGTAATTTGACATCTTTTGCAGAAGATAATTGCTTAGATGACCATGGAAACAGTAATGATACAAACCTAGAACAATTACGTGCACTAGATGTCTGTTAGATTTACCTGAACGTATCCTCACATTTTATGGCAAAATAGATTTTATCTTCATAACAAAAGACCTAGAGCATATGTAGGCTTGAGCAGTATAAATAAGAATACTTAAACCGTTGTTCCCCCAGAATGAAACTGGTTTCTTAAAGTCTAACATGTCACTGGTTATGTACAGTGACAACAGATTGAAGATGCTTAACGCAGTTCAGCTGCAGGCCCTCTCAACCAGCACAGCTTTGCAGGGTTCAGTGGAGAAGAATGGAGCACAGCCCTGAAGACAACCTCCTTGTCCCAGCTGACATAGCAGGCAGCTCTGCCAGGCATATGATCTCTCCCACGAGAGATTAGACTGCACACCTTCTCCCTCATTGGACAGGCAATCCCCAAGTCTGCAGAAGGACGTCCCTGCAAGCATATGTGTGCTTTAAGGACTTTGAAATCTCTCAAGGCTTTACTAGATCCCAGTCAGTCACAGGGGAGGAAAGGGGTCTGCATCACCTTGTCCTGAAACAAACCTGTGGTGCTGCTGCCATGGTCATGCAGATAAGGCATGCAATGGCAGGGCTGGAGTGCAGCCTGGGTGGAAGCAGCCACCCCACCTCCATCAGACAAAATCCACATTCTCAGCATGTAATCATAACTGTTCCTCACAGATTGTCTGTCCTGTTATTGTTCACAGCAGCATACGCAAGAGAATGAAAGATGCTACATCACACTGATGAAATGGGCTTTGCTGATTACAATAGACAACCAGTAATAATATCTATAATGAAAGTGACTGCAAAATTTCCCCGGTAATTTTCCTCAGCCCAATTGCTTTTAGAATTAATAGCCTGGCAGAGACGTATTCGGGTGAGCTACGAGTGGCAGAGGGGGGTGAAGGAGAGTACAGTGTCTCACCGCCCTTGTTTCCCTCTGTGATGCCCTGGGGGAAGCAGGGCATATTTTAATCTCAAACGCAATCCGCACAGCAGCTCCAGGAGCACGGTTAGCCACAGCTTCCCCTGCCTCTGCCACGCTCCATAAGCCACTTACACTCTCTGTTTCAATTTAGCCACACACCACGGAGTTTCACTGAAATATGCATCACAGGGGAACCGATGGTGCTAAGCATGGCATTCAGAAAGCGCTTTCAAATTCTCAAGCGTCAAGCGCAGTCTTCTGAGTTCCTTTCTGGCTTATCGAGTTCGAGTCTGTCTCACTGCTGCCTTCTCTCCTCCCACATGCTGGGCACACCTCCTCGCTCTTTTCCATCAGTTGTGTACATCTCAGTTTGGCCTCTCTGCCCCCCCTGGAGCAGAGTGCTCCCAGCACTGCCGAGTGCTGCAGCCAAGAGCTATCAAGGGCTAAGCGGAGCATAATAATTATTTTCCTTGTCTTACACTCCACAGCCCTCTGTTAACGCAACAAAAGACAACAGTTACCTTTCTTCAGATGCTGTCACATTGTTAATTCATAGGCAGCTGATCTGCCTCCGCAGTATTCCTCTCCGGCCAATGTTCAGCCTCCTCTTCCGCACTGGAGCCTCTGATTATTCTTCCCAGTGTAAATAAATTGTAAATATATTTTTATATTTGTATAGTCATGCCATATATATGTATGTACATACATATCTATGCAAATACACTCCCCCAAATCCTAGGGGCATCATACATACCTTCATATATTCATTACAGTCAACCTCTTAGGATAAGGCCGTGCAAAATCTGGGGCTCTTTTGGGTCCTCCTTTCTTAGGGCCCTCTATGTAAGTAGGCATTTTGAAAGCTGATCCCATGGAGGAAAAGGAAGCCTGGATTTTGCTCTCTGAGGCCACCACGGAACAAACTCTGCTCCTAACACCAAGCTGTTTTAATGGCACCCTGACTCACTGCTGCACTCAGAAGTGACAGAAATTGTGAGATTAATTATGACTAGCTCATTCCCAAATGACTATGGGTAAAAAAGAAAAAGAAAAAAGAAAAAGTGAAACTGGTAACAAATTGGCCTTTGATGAAATATGAATATCTGAGAACTAGTGTCATGGAGAGAGTAAACCTGTCTGATGTAAGAAATTGAAAGAGTTTGCAGCCTCTTACATCCCACCTAGCTGGGACTTTACCTCTGCATACTCATGGTAGGACTGTCACTATTTTTTCTAGCACTGGTGTAGATGCTTAAGGACAACTTACCCATCTTTCCTATGTAAAATGTACTTTCTGGCAGTTCCTTGTTGCCCTTTGGGATCTCGGTAAGGTCCCAGTCTGGTCTCAGCCCACAGGGCAAGCAGTCCAGCAGCACGTTCTACAGTTCTTACCCTTTCTGCTCAGCACAGATTATTTGAATGCTTTCAGTTTGCTTTTTCTTTAATCCAATCACTTTGTGACCCTCCCTGTAATTCTTTCTTTTCTTTCTTACCACTTCAGACTGTACCCAGCCACTACAATACTGTTCTTTTGATGATAAAACATGGAGGCTATAAAGCATCTTTGTCTGATTATTTCTCTGCTGTTTTTGTTGTGGGCTTTTTTTTGTTTGGTTTGTTTTGTTTTACCATCTGCCAATGTACTCTGTACTCCCTTTCTTCTCACCAGAAAGTTTATAAATCTTTTCTTGATTCCACTCACATCTTTCTGGGCTTGGATTCTGCAGTATATTTTTCAGGATGTGCAAAGTTCAGAATTTCCTGCTCGCCAGCCTCTGCAATTCTGCTTAAAGCCATCTCTTGTTTCTCCTTCAATGACTTTCTGTTTCCTTCCTTAGTGCTAACCTTCTGCCTAGGGGGGACTTGTCAATAAGTTTGAATGCCTCATAATTCTGAAGGCATGTCTGTGTGAATGTGGGGCAGACAGAGGTGGAGGGGGACACTCAGCCATTTGGCCAGATGGGTGTACCATTATTCTGGGGGTGCATATATCACTAAGCTTTGCTCATGTTCCCATTGCTTCACCATTGTTTTGACCAGGCTGAAACTGCAAAGTAAATAGCAATGAACAAATAAGTGAGCGTAAGACATCATGACCCTGAATGAATTAGATCATGCCTGTTCCTCCTGGCAACATGACCAAACTTATACAGGAGAATACATGGCCCCAACCCTCATTCACAGACCTCATCTCTAGCCCACACCCCTTCAGACATCTGTCTCTGGGCATCTTGCTCCCCATCTCACCTTATTTCACACCCTTAAGTCTTCAGTCAGAGCAGGGAATTACGTTCAGAACTTTGTGTGAGTGTTTCTAGATCATTTGCTACAGCTGCAGCCAGCCACAAAAGGATCCAAACATCAGGGATTACCTCTTGCTCGTTTGTTTTCTAAATCTGTCTTTTTAATCTCTATTTCTGTGACAGTGATGATCTCATTTTCCCTGTTGAAAATATCATCTACTCCAGTAATTAGGAGATTGCTGGTTCTGATACAGCATCTAATTTCTTAGTATCTCAGTATTATGAAGTCTAAAGAAGCTAGAGAGGAGATGTCTGAAGTAGTTTGCTGACAACCTTAATAAAACATTAATGTAATAATTGCCCAAACAAAATACTTTGCAGATTGCAACGGTCTGAATAAGCTGCTTTTGTAATTACAAGGCTTGCGTATCTGTGATACGGATCTTATTCTGATGTCTCCTGCACCACCATAACCCTGCACCTCAGTGATGAAAACTTACATTTGCCATTCTCTCTGGAAACCGTTGATATCTGTCCTAGGAATAGCTCACCTGAGATTCCTTCTCATCTTCCTCATCTGGTGGTTTTATAGCACAATCCCACGTGGCTATCAGCTGCTTTTCCCTTTTCCTCCTTTGTACCGAAAGGCATCCTGTTCTTGCTGCTGTTCAGCACTACCAGGCTCTGCCTTGGGTCCCCTTGCCAAGCAGGAGAAACTCCTGCTGTGACACTCCTGGGGCCTCCAGCTATCCTGCAGCTGGCACTCAGGGCTTTTCCATGGTACAAGGTGTAGAAACTTCCTGGACCATTGGAAACATCAGTGCTTGGGGACTCCACAGAGAAAGATATGCATATGACCACATTACCTCACTGTTTAGAATGAGAAGGAACGGTCTCATGTGGCACCTGGGGAGATTCAGATTGGATGTTAGGAAACATTTCTTCTCAGAAGGAGGTGCTGCAGTGGCACAGGCTGCACAGGGAGGTTATGGTGTCACCATCCTTCGCGTTCAGTAACTGTGTGGATGTGGCACTGAGGGATGTGGGCAGTGGGCATGGTGGGGATGAGCTGATGGTTGGACAGGATGATCTTAGAGGTCTTTACTAACCCTAAGGATTCTGTGGTTCTCTTTTGTAATCATCTGTCCAGGTTCTGGTCAGTGATATAACATGATTATTAAGCAACAGAGGGGGATGGGACCATACATGTTGTTCTAACAGTGGTCACTCAGTAGATGTTGAATTCATGGTCAGTGAAGTAGAGTAACATTTATTTCAGTGATATTAAGAATGGTGTTGTAGAAGACAGGACCTCTAACATAAATGTAAGGAGACATTATGGTGATATTAACACCAACTCTGGTATTTTATACAGATGAATAACCATAGAGGTAATGGTGGGGTGGTGAACTGACTGGAGAAATCTTGACTTGGACTAGGTTTCTGGGTACTGATGGTCATGATGCCAATCTGCAGTAGTAGTGCCATTCATACTGGTAAAGATGCTTGCCTTTTGTTATAACAGCCTTGCCAAGCCAGAAGAGACTTGTGAATTGAAACCTGAAACACCTCACGAGTCCCAGTTCACACCCTGCACTCCAGTGTTTACTTTTATTTTATGCAATTAGTCTTGCCATTTCAAGTCTTTATTCCTAATTTATGTCTATTCTCTCCAGCTTAAAATTACTGCTGTTTGATATAACCTCAGCCACCCTTCAAATAGCCTCCCATACTCTTTCCATCTCATGCCACTGCCTCATTAATTTTCTGTGCAGAGCTGTCATATTTTTCTCTTTCTGTACTTTTCACTCTACATACCAGCTTCTGCAGCCTTCTATGCTGATTAGACCTTTCCTTGGTGGGAGCACAGAAACAGAGCACTGACATTTGTACCAAAGTCCTAGCTACCTGTATATGCCTTGAGTATCACTTAAGCACAGCTACTGGCCCTCCCTCATTACAGCACATGGTCTCTCTATCTGATGCATTTGTGCTCTACTTCAGTGCTGATGGCAGCAGCCTTGTTTTTCCACGTGTTCCTGTTTCTCATTGCACTTTTTGGTAGATTGATGGATTTGCCTTGAAATAATGTGTCTGATTTCTCCATCCTCTCACATTTTCTGCCATAAAAAGTGACAGTTATTGCTGTCAAATCAGAATGGCAGTGTTTATGGTCAGTCTACAGCCATTTAGTGTAAATGAATGTGACTGCACAAGCTGTAAAGCAGCAGTGAATTGCACCTTCCTCTGCAGTGCTTTTCTTCTTATTTTACTTCTGTAAAGCTTCCAGCAACCACATTAAGTAGTAAGTGCTGTAGAAATTAATATATATATACACATATGCAATATCAAAACAACGTCCTTTTGCAAGGAGAGATTTCTGCCCACAGGGTGAGATTTGCGAGAGAAAGACAGAATCTGGCCCTTGGTGAATAAAGACACTGCAGCAACATGGGAAGGGTCAGTGCTGCAATAACTAATCCTCTTCACTCTGCTTGCAGTTCAGAGACGCTGGCCAAGGAGGCTTGTGTAACCAAGCCATCATGTTGATCACAGACGGAGCAGTGGAGGATTATGAAGCTGTGTTTGAAAAGTACAACTGGCCAGATCGAAAGGTTTGTCTGGGAGAAGACAGATAGGGCAAAGAAAGGTGCTATCCAACCACGGTGGGAAGAAGATGATCCAAGGTGTTGGGCAGAGTGGGCAGAGCTGAGCATCCAAACACCTGCGTGCATCCCGCTGCTAACACCAAGCAGCCAGGCTGGACTGTTTATAATTGGCCCTGTCTGGGAAAGCCTTGTTTGTTACCAGTCCATATGGTGGGCAGTGGAATGGCCCAGACAACCTCTCTCAGTACCTCCCAACCCTGCTTGCTTTGAAAGTGAAATAGACCAAGCTCATCCTAAACCCTCCAGATTTATTTGTTTACCTCATCCCAGCTAACAGCAATGCACAAAGGGAGAGAAGCAGCCTACCAGAGCTGTTAAAGCTGTTTATTTCAGGATTCACTCCTTTGTTGTTAGTCAAACACAAGAAATGGTGAAGCTTTCTTTAAATGCTCACATGACCGGCTGTTCCCCAGGGTAAAGGATTCCTGTGAGCTATAAACCTCTCTGCATGTTGTTGCCGAGTGCCTAGCAGAGCTGCTATCTTAAAATCAAACAGAATTTGCAGTTCTGCCTTGTTATGCAGATGATCCTGGGTGATACTTGGCTTTCTGAGCTTATTGTAATTGGAAATGAAGTTCCAGCCCGGAAAATGTGAAACAAATGGAGCGAGAGGCTCCTGTTTCTGCATGAAGGCAGAACTCTTGTCCTGCAGCACAATCAAGCGCTCACTGCTGCATGGCAGGGTGTCAAACCTTGACCTCCTGGCTTTGGTAGTGTGTGCCAGCTTCTTTTAGGCTACCTTTTCTTTCTCTTTCCCAGGTCCGGGTTTTCACTTACCTCATTGGACGGGAGGTCACTTTTGCCCCCAATGTGAAATGGATCGCCTGCAACAACAAAGGTGCTGTGTGGTAATGGCTACCCAACTCCGACCACTCACCTCACATGTGGACCGTGACTGTAGGTCTCTGGACTCCCCCACTAGTTCCCCACACCAGCTCAGGGGCCCAGGAACTGTTGGGTGGAAGATGACCTAAGGAAAGAGCAGGCCCTGCTAGTCTGCATGGAATATGCCCATGTCCAGCTAATGCAAGTCCTCGGTGCTGAGCCACCATGTTTTCTTGTCTCGGTGCCAAGGGACACTGTGACCAAAATTCATGCCAGCTGTTGTCCACCTAAGTCTCTGTGCTTATTGTGTTCCAGCTGCTGGCTTTTGACAAGCTGTCTAAACCTCTGTCAGTAAGCCTGACATCTTTTGACTCAGATGTAAAACAAGCATATTTTTTAAGGATTTTACAGCATTTTTCACAATGCCTGCAGGTTAACCCCTGTATGCCAGCCAAATTCTTTGTGTGCCAGTGATTTCACTGAGGTACCAGGACAGCTTGCTAATTCGGCCCCAAAACCAATATTCTCTGTAGCCAGCATGAAATGGCATGAATGGGAAAGTTCATTCAAAGTAGATGAGTCATCCCTATCCATTTGAGGCCAGTTTAAAAGTCCAGTTAGACCAATCAGACATGGGAAAAGAAAGGAAAAAAAAAGTCTTGTCTGTTTGAGCTTGACTTGGCCCCAGTACATCTGGCAATGGCCAGCACCCTGCAGTGCTTGCTACGTCTGTACACTTTTTCAACAGATAAAGGAAAAAGAGACTGAGCTTGGGGCCTGACCACTTAGGGATATTGGATCTCTTTCTGTCTGAACGGTGTCTTCAATGGACTCTGTGAAAGACATGGGTATATTTGCTATTGAAAATAACTGACATACAAGATTTGCTGGTCTGTAGAGTGTACACATGCTGAGGATGTCCAAGGTTCAAATGTTTACCTGTTAGCACTATGAACACAAGTAACATTTTTAAGTAATATTTTTATTAGATGAAAAAAAAAAGGATTTCAGATTGCATATTCAACCGTAAGATTAGTGACAAGAAATTCACAGTACTGTTTTTTCACTATAAAATGTGAGAATGGATTATCCTTGAGAACAAAAATACACTGTTCGCACTTCAATTCTCACTTAGCAAACTCGATCTCCAAGGAAGGCTCAGTGATCTTGGCTCTTCCATTTCAACATATTATACTGCTCTTTAATCCTCGTTTTCAAGCACACAAAATTTTCCACATCACAAAGCTTATCAACTCATGAACCATTTCACATGGCATTGATTTCCTAGTGATAACAATTTTCCATATACTTGACATACTCTGTGCTACACCAAGTGTAACCAATGAGATCCATGTTTAGCATTTCTAACCAATTAAGCAGCTAGCATTTGACAATCTTTTGATAACTGGAAGACATTATTTCCTTATATTCTTTGTTGTATATTAGACTGCTATAGGAGAAAGCTCTGGAAATAAGTAACTTACACTTTTTGGTTCTGCTTCCAATGGGTGGATAGACATAGTCCCCATCCTTGGATGCAAAGCTAGGCAGAGCAAAGAGTAGAGCACTGTGCAAGAGAAGCTGAGAGTTTAGGCTTTACATAAAATGGGACAGGGGAAGTGAGTAGTTTGGTGGAATACCTTCTTTGCATATGTTTGCCATTCAGGAACACAGGCAGACTGATTCGTGAATGTTTTTGCCTAAGACCTGAAACAGTCTTTTACATCTGCTTGTTGTGTTATATCAAGACTCTGGTCTTGAGTACCAGTCCAGTGCTTTGAGAAGAACAGAGCCAGTGCTTTGAAACTCTAGATTTCCATGGAAACTTCTATACATAAAAAGCATGGCTACAAGGCATGTCAAGGCGCTTTTTGTAAAGAACTGTCTGGGTAGATGTAGTTTTTGACATTCCCTTTTCTGACTTCACATGAACGTTCATTTGTAAACATGAGGGACATGTCAGAAGACTGACTCATGCCTCTCTTTCTCCATGAAGGCTACTATACCCAGATCTCCACGCTGGCGGACGTCCAGGAGAATGTGATGGAGTACCTGCATGTTCTCAGCCGTCCTATGGTCATCAACCATGACCACGACATTATATGGACTGAAGCCTACATGGACAGTGCGGTAAGGAATGACACCTCAAGTCTTTAGTCAGCAAACAGTAGGGCCTATGAGCCAATCTGGCAAAGGTGTTAAACCTTCAGTGAGTATGCTAGGCATGTAACTTGTCCCAGTTCCCATCTAAATATCTTATGTATCAGAGTAGTAGTAGTATCAGAGCCTAAATGAAGTCTTGAAATTTATGTAAAACCAGGAGCTGGCTGGCAAATAGAAGTTACAGGTCTCTGGCTGAGTCAGGCACTATTTCTTTTCTGCTTGCTCCTGGAGCTGAGACGTATATATGGACTCAGGTATGTATCTGCAGTGACCCAGGAGCCCAGGACTAATCACACAGACACAGCATGACTTAAGAAGTTCTCCTGTGAAAGACGGCTACCTTCTAAAGGATTATTCACAGTAAAGACTATTTACAGCTCAAGATATGGGTCACAGAGATTTACTTCCTCTAGCCCAGTACCTAAGCACATACTGTTAGTCACACAAAGACACAGATCTCAGTTTGGGAGGCAGGTTCACGCTCCCATTCTTTGGGTTAGTAAGATGTAAGGTCGCCCACTGTACTGGCCTGTGCTCAGCCTGTGGGTAATGGGCACATCTCACTTCCTGGGAGGGAAATAAAGAACCAGGAAGTGGGGGCTTCCAACACCCCTTCCTCGTGTCAGAGGAGGACTTCAGAAACTGGGACCACAAAGCAGGTGCCATCATGATGTTACGTTGGCCATGCACCTTCCAAAGGAAAGAAGGGAAAAACAAAATTGATTACCACTGAAGTTATTTTTCCCTGCACTACCTCAAATAGAAGATGTTTCTCAGTCTTCATCTCCACTTTGATTTTCAGTACAGAAAGGGAAAGTTACGCTTCTTTCTGTGCTTTCCACGCTTCTAGAGAGATGTGTTGGTTTTGGTTTTTTTCATACACTGGCGTACTCACACAGAGAGATTTATGCATAATTGTGACAACTAGAACTGACCAGAGGAAAAAATTCTCTAGAGAATGTTTTCAGGTACTATTTCCTGGACAGAATTCCACGGTGGAACTGCACTTACTAGCTGTGATCAGCAGCATCTTTAGGATGTCTGCCACAGCCCTGAAAGGAACTGGGGAGAACCCACAGCTTCTGGGATATGTTTGTTGCACTTTAGTTGCTGTGTCTCTTTCCTTGCCTCTTGCTTTGGTTTGCAGTTCTTTTCCTCTGCTCCAAACTCTTTCATCTTTGTCTCATTCCTCCATTTGTGTATTCATTCACCTGTTCATCCATGTCTCCCACTAGCTGCCACAGTCTGAAGAGGTAATTGCTGCCCTGTGTTTTGTGAGCGTGCCGTGCTGTTGCCGTGTGCTGAATGGTGTGTCAGTGTGAGCACTCACAGCCACAGCTGGCCTCTACATCTGGGGGTGGGAGTCTGCTTCTCTGAGGAGCCCTCTGACACAAACAAGAGGGGAGGCAATGCTGGATGTACTGGAGAGCTGTGCTGTGGGTCCAGAGTAGATAGGGGTGTCTGTGTCGTATGGTAGCTTAGTTCACTGGATCTCTTCCATGTGTTTGATAAGTGCTGGGGACAGTAGTTTGTTGTATATTAGCACAAGTGTTACTGTGCAGGGGAATTCTTTACAAAGAAGCATCCAGACCAATAACTCAAGACACTGGACTCAAATCTCCCTCAAGCAACTGCAGAGGTTATTGGCTGGCTGCTGTATGGCTCCCAGCATGCACACTAATAGAGACAGGAAGTCAGTTCTTGCCTTGCTACTAACTTGACCGAAGCAGAAATGGAAGGGAGATGCTACTGGCATCAAGAGAATAGGTCCTTTTCACTGCTAGGTATGTTTGGGAGACTCTTGTGCATGTATCTTGCCTGTTTTACCTCCTTTCTTGTATGTTTTTAGAGCATCTATCTTCTGTAGTAATGGGACACTCTGCTTCCCCATTACGTGTGCACATCAACTGTACAGACAGCTCACTATGTTGTCCTCTGTCTTTCCTATGCTTAGATGCCTGAGTGACAAATTTATACAAGCAAGCTGTGTGTGTATTTGTGCCTTTTAAACATTTGCCTATGCTGTTTCTCATTCATGCTATTCATGTGTTTGCAGTATAGATTATATTTGTGTTTTGCTCATATTTGTGTTGTTTTTCTACATTCTGTGCTTGATGTGTTGGTGGTTTTTACACTTGTTGCATAAGTACCTATGTCTATACACCATTATGTGTCAGTTTTAAGTTGTGTCACCATTTCTACAGGTTTCTTCATTCTCCTGCTTCAACACATTTCACTGGCTTTCAGCCCATTCTCATCACCCCACATGAGCAAGCATCCATCCTACGATCCTCTTGGATACAAAGCATTGAAAAATGCTGCCATCTGTTTTCAGAGGGGTGTGGGAGGCAAGGAGGTGTCTGATTGTACCCAACATCTGGGTTTCCTGGGATTTCCAGTGCCTTTTGCTTGGGTTATCTGCGATACTGCATCCGCTAACACATGGCTTGTTGTTCTCTGGCAGCTCTTTGCATCTCAGGCTCAAAGTCTGTTGCTCATGACAACAGTGGCTATGCCAGTCTTCAGCAAGAAGAACGAGACGGTGAGTGCAACATGGCCTTTGCTCTCCTTTCCACCAGCAGAAGTGTAAGACTGCAGCAGACCTGTGTGAGGTTTTAGAGCCAACGCTTCTCTGAAAGACTGCCAGATCATTAGGAACTGCAGTTGACTTTGGGCAGGATGTGCAGATGATAATTTGTCTGTCAAAATGATAGTCTGTCATTTCTTCTGAATACTATTTGTTCCAAATACCTCTTGAACATGACACTCCTCCCCATTTTATCCTTCCATTTTCAAAGCCAGCCTAATTCACAGCCCTGTGAGATTTGAGGCTGAAAGTAATCATTACTTTGTCTCGTTTATGCATTTTATTACATTCCTCTACATTTCATGTAACGGTCCTTCATGAGTCCAATAACCTGTGTTTGGTCAAAGTGTCCTTGGAGAAAGGCATCCAGTCTTGATCTCTCCATTGCATTTTCTCACTCTGTTAAAAATTGGTGTCTAAATTCCACTTTGAGGCTGTCTGGCCTCACTCTCCCATCATGATGGCTTTCTCTGCTGAACTAAAAAGCACATAGCCTTTGGCATTTCTCCTGGGAACTATCTTCTACACTGCAATGAAGTCAAACCTGTCTTTATTTTGGTAAGGTAAAAAGGTTAGAAAATTTAGGTGTCTTTGATGAGGGCATTTCCTCTGCATTTTGAAACCCTTTACACACTTTTCTGTACCATTTCTAGCTTTTCAGCCTCATCTCAGCTTCTGGTTCCTTACTGTTGCTGTACAAGGCATAAACTCTCCACCTAGATCATGTGAACAGCTGTCTGTCTTCTCTGCCCTAGGCCAGCCTTAGCCTTTATTAACACAGCACTGCAGTGGGAGCTTCTGAGCCATTTTTTTCCTCAGACGCTTATAAATAAACAATTTTCCATTTTGTGAGGATTTCATGCATTCATTTGTCCTAGATTGATAATTTTGTATTTGGCATTTGGTTCACTTAGCCCGGTGACAAGCGAATATGTATTGCTTCGCATGGTTGCCTTGTCCTTTTTGTTATTCACACATACCAAATGAATACTTTTGCCCTCAAATCTTGTGTTCAGTCATTTTCTATTACTTCTGAATCACAGTAAAAAATGTGCACTAGTGTTGGGTAGAAATGCTCCTACCCATAAACATTGGAGCAACCCTTGAGATTTTCTGACGTATGCTAGCTGGTTTAAATGAACATACACAAGTTTGGAGAAAACACGTGAGAGGTCAGTAGGAAGGCAGCAATGTGTATTCAGGCAGAAAACTACCCAAATTTTACTTTTGAAAATGAATTCTTGTTTTCAAGCGATCTCACGGCATTCTCCTGGGTGTGGTGGGCTCTGATGTGCCACTGAGGGAGTTGTTAAAACTTGCTCCACGTTATAAGGTAAGATTGAGATAAAACTTGCTATTTTATACAGCAAAGTCATTAGTCATTCTTCCACTGTCATGTCTCTGAAAAGTCATTCTTCTGCCTGTAGGAAGAAGAATGAGCATAAAGCAAGAGCAGTTGGTTGTGGTGATACATCATAACAACACAGGAAATCATTCACCCCTTAGGATGCCTCAGAAACACAGGGACTGGATGGTCCAGTGGATTCATAACTGGTCACCAGTTTTGACTTTATGGTCACCTGCTCAGATCCCTCAAAGATGATACGGATTGGATAGTCCATCTCATAAAAATTAATGTTTTATATCCAGTTCCCAGTGGATAAGCTGCCATATCAGTTGCCAAAAAATGAACTAGTTTCCCTGTCAACATATTCTTGGCAGAAAATTTAAGAACTGAATGGACTTGGGAAACCAAATGGTTTTGTTATGCATAGTTGTCCTTTTTTTTCCAGCTCAGCTTGAAGACTTCTTGGCAACGCAGTGAACAGGGAGTTGGCTCTCACTCACTAATGCTATACCTAGACAGAGTATTTGCTCTCCAGAATTAGTCCAAGAGTTTCCACTAGTTCTGTGCTCAGTATATCTTAAAAAAGAAAAAGCATTCCCCAATAGGCAAACACTCCAGAGATGTGCTGTTTAGTTTGGTTTCTGCTGTAAGTTCTGTGCAGTGAATTTTGTTCAATCGGTCTGCATACCAGGAGATGGTAAACTCATCCTAGAATCACCACAGAAATCAGGTAGTTTGAGCCATCATTTCCAATTTCCAGTTTGTCCTAAAGAACTATTAGACATCAACTACCAGTTAGGCAGCTGTCCAAAATCTGATTGCTAGAGACTCACAGGAATGGAAGTGCTGTCAGAGGCAATGCATGAGTGTGGCACTTGAGACCTAGATGCAGGATTTGCAGACCGTTTGCTACAGGAAACTGCCTTTCAGGCAACCCAGGAACTGAGAGTATTGAGGTGCCTGTGCTCAACAGACCAATGCCAGCTGGTTTCGGCCTGTAAGAGCCTTGTCCAGGAGGCTTCACTTTTTATACACATTCATTTTCTTCAGAATACTTACACCTTTTCATTTTCCTTCCTCCATGTCACTCAAAAGCCATGTGTCGCAATAATCTTTCTTCTAGACCTAGAAGAGGAATGGTCCCTTACTCCAAGCAATGCCATGGAAGGAAGGAAAATATTTGAAGGGTTTCTTTACATCAGAGACAGGATGTGATTTCCCAGAAGCTATTTCAGTTTCAGACCACTTTGGAAACCTCATTTCTTCACCTTGCCTCTCCTGGCATACAGGCCACAAAAGACCAGTTCTAGAGCTACCTTGAGAGCTCACTTGAGTCCGCACTTTTCATCTTTAATAGGCCAGCAAGGAAATTTGATGTAGTACTGATCCAGTGCCTTGGATGCATCTGCCATGCTGAGCTCTATGCAATTTGAAAAGAAAAAAATCTTTTAAATAGAGTCCAAGTTTTGATCTAAGATGTGTGCAATACATAATCCATTCCCTTCAAAAAAAAATGTGCAGCGAATGACTTACCTCCCTGCTTTCCTATTGTTAGCCCTCCAAGATTGTCTCTATAGGAACATAAATTTGCTACATTTTTTTTGAAGATAGAAACCTTAGCCATTCTTCCTTCAGACACCTCTTGTTTTGGCAAGCATAGGCTATCCATGGGTTTTCAGAAACTCACAAGTTAAGCTGGAATTTGTATTATGTATGGGCTTGATGTGAGTAATTGCTCTCTTGGAAATCTCTTGCAGATCAGGTCAGACGGTGCCTGCTCTGGCTTGATTATGCTACTCTTTAAAAAGCACTGTAAATGGGAGGCCTATACAACTGGCCAAGGCTCAGTATGTTCTTGCCAACAACCAAAATGTAAAACAGAGCTCCTCTGCAGACTGACCTGGCTTCTAAGGGAGGAATCTGGGGCTCCCCACTCCAACATGGTTGGTCCTCTCAGAGCAGCCAAAGGGGCAGAGAGAAGTGCTTTAGGATTAAGCCTGTTTTCTACCAGTGTATACCTTTAATAAGAAAATATTTCTGAATATTCTGAGTTGGCCAGGTACTAGTGGCAATCCTTATGCAGCAGTTCTTCTAGCAAAAGCAGAGCTAATTATTCTCATGCCTCTTTCTCCAGCTGGGTGTCCACGGATATGCCTTTCTGAACACCAACAATGGCTACATCCTCTCACACCCAGACCTCCGTCCTTTGGTATGTACAACTGAGAATTTAAGAAGCTTTGCTAGTGTGGAAGAACTGGCTTTCAGGAGTGCTCCTGACTTCTCATGTTTTATTGACATACCAGCCTCAGAAACATGAGGAACGGAGAAATCAGTACCACACCCATAGGTGTATATATGCATGCATGTGCATGAAGTGGGAGGTGCCCTGCCTTTCCTCTCTGTAAGAATGCATGTGGGTGATATATTTGTGCATTGCTGTGTTGTGGGTACATGCGTATTTGCATGCATGCAGCATTTCACTGCTAGGCTGAAGGACCCCTCACCCACTCATACCTCCTTCGGGAAGATTCAGCATCCCAGTAACAGCTGGCACGCAGCTGTAGTGTTGGACATGTGGAGAACCTGAGGCTAGCAGGATCCAGCATCACGCATCCTAGTCACATGTAGGTCAGAGACAATTTAGGGACCAGTAGACCAGCTGGGTGGATGCAAGGATAATTCTCACTTGTGGTACCACACGGAACTCCAGACCATACATCTCTGCGAACACCCAGCAGGTTTCATTACCCAGGTATGCTATACATTTGATACTTCACATGCGTTCCTGTCAACACAAACCTTCACATGCACAGCAATAGTAGTTAACATGGCTACTGGTGAAAGAAAGCGCCACCACAGGGATTCCCAGTAGCCATCTTCCTAAAGGCATACCACATGTGTGGAGTTACTTCATTAAGTCAGGAGGAGGAACATATCACATTTCCAGAGAGGCAAGGCAAAGCCAGGTAAGGTTACTATCTTATCTTCCACCTGAAACTGATCTCTCTTAGTCTACTTCACACCTTTTTCTTCATCAGGAAGATTAAAGGCAAATAGGTGTCTTTTATCAGTTAACCCTGAGGTGAAAAGCCTCCTTTTTTCTCAGTGAAGCTGAAGCCTAATACCCATCAGAAAAGATCTCCTGCTGGTGTAATAGTGTTAATGGGATTACACTCTTAGCTGTAGAGGAAAAAAATGGTTTCCTGGAGGTAAGCATATTGAAGTGTAACATACTGACCTATTTAGCTGAATATTCTCACAAACCAGGCCATACCCTTTATCTGCAAGTTCACCTATGTTCTTGCTTGTCTCTTTCTCCTGAAAAAGCCTTTCCCACATAAAGAAACACACAGCATGGGATTGAGAAGGCACCTGCACCCAAGTGCTGCCTTCCCAGTCAGAGAATGAGACAGTATTATTCTTCAAATTCGATTTAATTCTTCACAGGTTAGTTTAGAAAAGATTAGTTTATCTGGATACTTACTTGAGTGTTTTTCTTCTTTGATTGTCTTTCTTCTTTTTCTTTTTGTAAATAAATAAATACCAGTATAAAGAAGGAAAGAAACTGAAGCCTAAGCCGAACTACAACAGTGTGGATCTCTCAGAGGTGGAATGGGAAGACCAGGATGAAATAGTGAGTACCAAAAAATGAATTCAAGCTTTTTGTATCTCCTTCTTACTAAGCATACCTATACAGAATGAGGAGGAGGGAAGTGGCACTCCTGCTTTTACTATGTGTAACTGGCTCTATGAGAAGCTGGTGAGAAGAGAACAAGGCCAACGCTCCCTACAAATTGCTTGCCTTCTTCACCTGTATGAGCTTTTGTCTCCACGGAACAAGGAGGGAAAGTACTTGCAGGAGGAGGGAAGAAGTTGGAGGATGCTTCAGGGAGTCAGCCTATGTGTACATGGCCCACGTGCTGGTGGTAGCTGCTGTACCTCTGGATTCAGCTTAATACAAAGCCAGAAAAGCTTGGGAGTAGGGAGATGTCCCATGATGTTGCTTGTACATGCAGTATGTGAGATATAGCAGAGCCCACTCAACTAATGAGATTCACAGTAAGGAAGAAAGTGCAATTCAAAAAGAGACAAAGCTTGCAGTCATTTCTAATGATAGACAAAGAGCATATGGGATATATCACTTAAGAAAATAGTTTTCCAGAAAATACCTTACTGCACGCATGGAGCCTCTGAAAACAATAGCTGACTAGAGGGAAATGACTTGAAAATGCTTTTTCTACTCTCTCTCAAGCAAAACTATTAAAAAGTGGTAAACAAGAAACAGCATACATCTCAACAGCTGCATGTTGCAGTGTATCAGAACTTAGAATCCAGATACAACAGCAGGTAGACAGGCTTCTCCATAGCTGGTTTTCTTTTACTCAAAGGGGTTAAGAGAGAATAGCTACTTAAGTTACTAAGATAAGAACTGAATTGAGAGTAAGATAGAATTAGCTGTAGGATACATGCTTTGGGATTACAGGAGAGACTGCTGAGATAAGCAGATCTGGTGCTATAGATGCCCACTTAGGTGGGACAAAGAGCCCAGCAAGGGGATCACAGCAGCTATTGTGGCCAGTGCAGGGCAAGCACTGAGGGCTGTGCTAGGGGAACACGGAAAGTGGAAGAGTGTGGCAGGCTGAGAAAGGAAATGAGGCTGAAATATAGAATCAAAATCAAACAATCATCAAGGTTGGAAAAGACCTTTAAGATCATCTAGTTCAACAATCCACTACCAATATTGCCCACTGAATGATATCCATAAGTACTACATCTACATGTTTAACATAGAGAATTAGGTAAAAATAAGCAGTTTTATATGCAGTGGACTTGTCAAGATACGGGTTATCTGTGGTTTTGTGTGGGTTCACTGATGTCTTCTAGCATTTCTGCTCCCATGGTAGTTTTCTCTCTTGCTGGAGCCACTATGGGAGCTACTTCTCTCTCTACTCAATATGCTGTTTCACAAATACATACGTGTGTGTGTGTGTGTGTGTGTATACACTTTTTTGTTCTTTTTTTTGGGGGGGGGAAATTAAAACTTTGCTGCCATATTTATTTGGCTACCAGGTTACTGTCTGATCAAATAATATTGCTATCTGAATGCTAATATAATGCACAGTGTAAGGTTTCAGTCCTTATGCAATCATAATAAAATGATAAAATGCCAAAAGAGGCATGCAAAACAAAGCCACTTTGTGTTCTTTTGCTGCATCTTCCAGAAGAAAGAAAGATTGCAGCCACTGAGAGTACAGAGACATTCAGTGACGTGAGCAATATCTGCAGTGTGACTTCAGCAAGTTGAGAGTCTCTCAAGATACACCCACTGCAGCAGAAAGCTGTCAACGTTTCAACACTCAGATTCACAGCTATGGTATTAGATCAATGACAGACTCAACATCAGTTGCAGTGTAATCTCAGCAACACTGATAAGCAACAAAATCAGATTGGAAAAACATGCCTAAGTGCTAATGATGTATAATACAGCCAGCTGCTAAAGAGAAAAAGAGAGGGAACATAGCACTGTCTGGAAAAGACAAATTGATGTAGAATGGTGTGACTTGCAGCTAGGAAGTTTGGGCTTGCTTGTAAAGAAATTCTGGGCTATTCTTAATGTGAGGGGAACAGGGAAGAGTTGAGGGATCATGTCCAGCATCAGGAACTGCCACCCAAATGGAGCTTCTTCAGCCTTGACAGAACTTTTGAAGAGGAAATTAGCATGCAAGGATGTTGTGACTGGCAAAACACCTAGATGTTATGAGAACCCTCAGGAAAACTGTATGTCTATTGGTTTGAAGCTACATGAGTAGATGGGGAAAAGGAATCACCAGCACTCATGGCCTGCACTGGTGACAGCACGGATCCATTGCTTCTGAGATCTTGCGTGCCAGGACTGTGTCTGCTTTTGAATATTCAGAGCAGGAGACACTGTCATGGAAGATGCAGCAAGGTTGGGCTGTGGCACCAACCTACAGCCACTGCCACACCATTGGAGGTCTGTGGACAGGCTGGGGATGAGGAGATCCAGTATCTCATTCCCACTGATTTACTTCTCCACTGCCCCATGGTGCAGTGAGGGATGGCTGACATTCAAGAAGACATGGATGAAATAACAACAACCAAACTGAACCCAGGACCCAGAGAAATTACTTCAGGCTGTCAGACCAGAACAGAGTATGCTGTGGCTCTGGCAGGAGGTCAAGCTCTCTTAGCTAGCAAGGAGTTACAGTACCAGTCATTGTTTGGACTTCCAAGACATGGACTTCGGAAAAGACAAGCTTCTAAGACTGTAAATAACCCACATCAAACAGCCATAATAAATAGAGCTGTGGTCTTGTAAAGCAAATGCAGTTGAGTCTGGCCAGCACCTGAATGGAAGCCTGTCTCTGGAAGCACGGAAGCAATTTGTGTGAATGAATAAGCTACTTCCCACCTTTTTTTTCTACCCAAGCTGAAGCAACAGGCTGATATGCTCTGGCAGGCTGAACCTAATGTCAAACCCTCTGCACTTATGGAAAAATTTCCTGGCTCTTGCTCGCAAGAGGCTGGGAGTTACTGAGAAAATTATATTTTGACTTTGGAGCCTGGATTGAATGAAGTGGGCTTTGCACTGCCTCCCCAGCTATCACACAGCCTTGCTTTGCTGTGTTAAACAGCTGCTTTGTTGCACTCAGAAGTGGTACTCTGTACAGTCTATAATTTATAAATCAGTTTAAAGAAATGCCAAAGGGTTTTGTAGTCAGCCTGAGGGAGCCGGTGGGATTCTCAGGTGTCTCCTCTTTCAGGCTCTCAGAGAATCACGCTAATGACATTCTGGCTGCCAAACGATGAAGTCTGAAACGTGGACTGACAGCTTCATAGCTTCCAGATCCTTTCCTTTAGCTCAAAAGACATATCAACAAGCTTTCAGCATAAGCCATTTTTATTCTGTGTCACTGATTGGACAAGGATCCTGACCACCAAGAACAGGTTTTCCGTTTAAAAGAAGTAAAAAAAAAACCAAGCTGTGGGGGGAAAAAAATGACACCCGCTCTTTCCTGTCAGGCCCTGTATTTTAACAATGAGCAGCTCTATTAATTCCCATCCTGCTCTACCCAGAGATGCTAATGCTGATCTTGTTCACCTCTGCAGCTGAGAACTGCCATGATCAATGGGGAAACAGGCTACCTCTCCATGGATGTGAAGGTCCCTGTGGATAAAGGGGTAAGAATGATCCTGCTCAGGTCACACAAAGGGAGGGGAAATGGATGCTAAAGAACCATGAAGGATGTGGTTTTAACTCTCAGCATTTCTGAGTGTGAGGATTTTATTGTTTCACCACATACATTACACGTGCTAAAGACATAAAATAGAACATAGTTAGAAGCACTCTTTTTACCTACTAGCATTCTGCATGAGCAAAGGCACTGGAAATGCCTCACAGCTCCCTGCTTTGTCCAGGCAAAGCCAAAATGCATGCTGTTCATTGTTTATAGGGCTGTGAAACAAATCAGAGATCTTCAAGAGTTTAGAGATAGGGAAGACATGTTGAGCTGACAGAAAGAGGCTTGGATGCTTTTTCAACTCTCTTTCCTTACCCAAAAACACTCAAGAAAACTGTCCCTCACTCTGTCAGAATGTGTTTTCCTTTATCCAAGTCCAGGATTAAATTTCTACACAAATATTTACAAGCATTTTATGAAAACTTCTAGTGAAATGGAGACTTGTGAATGTTCCCTACCAGCTCTAATGTAAGGTTGTACATCTTCCCCTGGAATCAGTGCAAAATTGTCTTGTATATTTAGGTTCACTGGTACTTTTTCATTTGGGTTTATTTAACTTTCCCAAAGAGTTTGGCTTCCATCATTTCCTCTTAGGAAGTATTCCAGAGGCCTGCAAGTTTAACTGCCCAGAAGTCTTCCAAAAAAAGTTTCCATCTTTTTTTATAGAGCTGGCTGGTCTGCTCCCATGCTAAGCCTGTCAGCACCAATTCCAATAGGCCAGTGCTCACAGCCATAGGCTGAAATTATGCCATTTCTCAGTGAAGATACCCCTCCATTTCCTCTGAATGGCTGCATTGCTAAATATTGTAACTAAATTACCCATCTCTGTTTTTGATGTTTGCAACTATCAGGTACCGTCAGCTGGCAGTGGGTTTGCCCTTCCCCAGCATCTACATTTGAAATACACAATATTCAGTCCAAGCACCCGAGCAATTATTTTTGTTGCCTTTGTTTCTTGTATCATTTCTAGTATCTAGGTACCAGAGCTTCACTGAACTATTTGAGTGCTGCTTCCTTCTTTCTCTGTAGAGCACTTCTATTCTCTGCATTGGATATTTCTGAACAGGAAGCCCCAGACCTCCTTTCTGCTGTCCCTTCATTTTTTTTCTCCATCCCACAGCTGTCCTAGAACTACTGCCTACATTTCTATGTTTCTTAGCTATTTTTTCCAGTTGCCTTTTTTTTTTTTTTAACCTGAATTCCCCTCCTCCTTTTCATCTTTATAATCTTTAGAGCTGCTAACACAATACGCAAAGAAGTGTTGATTTATTTTATCTTACAGATACAGTACAGAATGGCTCCTAATACAGTCTCTCTCTTTGAGTAGGTCATCTTCTCCTGATGCACTTTCTACTGCTTCTTTCTGTTTAGAGTACTGCTTCTTGTTCTCATTCCAGATCTATTTAAGGTCACATTAAATGATTCTTTAGAATAAAATTTCATGAAAAGCTGTTTCAAGTGCTTTATAGAAACCCAGATACAGAGCATGTCCTTTATTCTCTTCATCCATTATCTTTGTTATTCTGTTGGAAAAGAACAGGGTTTTCCAACAAGATCTATCTTTGTCAATCTAGATTGCTTATTTCTTTAATTTAACCTCTTTTTTTCTGTCTCTGGGCACCCTCAATAACATATCTTCTGAGTCATCCAAAGATAGCATTTTAGATTTTAGTTCAATATTTTAAGGGCATCTTTCTGCTTTCCTACTGAGGAAAAAAAAAAAAAAAAAAAAAAAAAAGGCCTTGGTAAGAGATATTATGTGTTTTATTCTGCAACGCTGTGAGCCTTATGAAGTATAATAGGAGACAGAAATTGAGCAAGTTACAATTTTACTATTATCTGAATACACAGAGTAGAGACCAGAAGTGAAATTGCATTTCCCACTGTTGCTGCACTAGCTGATGAAGCAGAGCAGCAGTAGAAACAAAGAAAGTGCTGACAGAGCCTAGAACCACAGAGAATGAGGCAGTCAGCGGAGTGAAGGACTGAATGGAGGGGATAGGAATTATTCTGTCAGCCACACAATAGCAATTCCCCAGGCTGATCTTGGGAAAGCATCGAGGGCAGAGTGAGACAGAGAGGGAAGTATAAGGAATGAAGGTGAAATCAGAGAGATCTGGTGGCAAAAACTGCATTTGTTTTCAGCTTGGGGACAAATGGATGGGCCTGTGGCAAACATTGATGGCGTTAGTCAGGAGAGACTGCCTAGAACAGTCACAATACCCAAATTTGAAATGTACGTGTTCCCAGACCTCGGTTGCTGGAGTTAAAGGAACTTTGGGACACTGCTCTCAGAAATGGGGCTTGATTTTTGGGTGGTCCTGTGTGAAGCCAGGAGTTGGACTCAGTGATCCTTGTGGGTCCCTTCCAGTTCAGGATTCTGTGATTCTGTGTGCAGAAGAGGGGCAGCAGGTAGGGAGTAAAGGATGATCAGAGCAAACACTGCTGAAGCATCTCAGAGCAGTGGTACCCCTGGGCTGTCATCTGCTGTATCCTTGCCCACATCTCTTTCTTTGCTCTGCCTCTTCCCCATCAGATCAGACTATAAACAGGGAGTCTCAGTCTCTCTTGTACTTTCTCCATAACCACCAAAACACCACTGTGCCATGTTGTCTGGGTCATTGTAGCTCTTCTGGAACATCTCAGCTCAGCAAAAGTCTCTATTCTGTTGCAGTACACGATTACCATACATGGAGAGAGAGGGAAGAGAAAGGGCTGAGCTGTTTGCCATCTCCTCACTGTAAAAAAAAAAAAAGAAGCAACAAACAAAACAAAAAAACCAGCCTTTCTCCATTTCTCATCTGCCCAGTGCTAGCCTGTCCTTTGTGCACTGTACCTCTTCTATGGCTGCATGGCTTAAGCAGGTTGGAGCAGGCATGACTTTCCCTGGGGAACAGTGAGTTTTCTGTATTCACTTGCTGTCTCCCACACACATCCTCTCACCTCATTTTCAGACTGGGACTGGGATTTTAAACATATTAGGGTTCCTATTCTGCCTTAAGGGTGGGATAAAAATTTTCCAAAAACTTTTCTTCTTTGGAAAAGAGTTCCACTTTCCTATAGGAAAAGGCCAGTCTGGCAAACAGCTGAAGTTCTGAAGCAGCTTTCTTGAGTTGAAATGTCAGTCAGAAACAAATATTTTCATATAATCAAAATGGCTTGGATTTGAATCAGCACTTTTGTTTAATTTGAAAATGTAAATTGTTTCTTTTACGGGTGTTTTTTAACAAAATTGGAATATGTTAATATTATGTCCCAGTTTGGCATGAAAGCAAATGTCAGGAATCTCATCATTTCCCACAGGGCTGAGGAGAGCTGGCCCTAGCTGCCAACCCAAGCAGTGAGTAGGGTTGCCAACTTGCCTCTGTTCCCACCCCACCCCTCTTTCTTACCCGCCTCACTGAATCCCAACTCCTGCTGGGCACCGTGTTGATGTGCAAAGCCATCAGAGCTGTTTTGTTCAGTAAAAGAACAGCAGGATTCCACTGTATAAGCTTGGAGGATGCAAGAAGGAAGGCAGCTTTCCTCCATCCCAAGCAGGAGCCCTAGAGCAAAGGAAGATTTCACTGAAGACCTAGATGGAAAGACAGCGTGGCTGCCTGGATCTTGAAAGTCACAAGTTGTTAAATATACTGAATACTACACATTCATCCCTGCCTCCAGCAGTCCTCTACTAGGGATGATCAACTTATTTTCCTTAACCCCAAAGATGTTACTCTCAGGTCTCTATTGCCACTGTGACCTTGATCTGTCCATGATCTCTCATTTTCTTATTCATTCTCATTCCAGAAACGAGTTCTCTTCCTCACAAATGACTATTTCTTCACGGACATCAGTGGCACACCCTTCAGGTGAGCATGGGCTCGTACATCAGCTATGCAATACATCAGAAGTCTGCCATCAGGGATGGCAAACTGGTCATAAAGCAGGCTGTGACTCATGACTAGAGCAGCATGAATAATTGACTTACTTGTTCTTATTACTATCAAGAAAGTTATTTATCTGAAGTTCAGAGCCCAAAAGCTACACTTTAGGTGAAGCACATTGTTTCAGTTCAGCGAAATGGAATATATTCAACTTTCAGTTCCGCTGAATATTCTTGTGTGCCAGTATTGGTTCTAATACAAAATTACTATTGTAAACTGAAAATGATAAAAATTCACATAAGAAATCAAGCTAAACATTTTCTTTTTTTTTTTCCTTTTCCATGGCTGAAACGGTTTAAAATTGGAACAGAATTTGTATGTGTTATTGTTGACTTGAACCTACAACTTTGGCTAAATATGTTGTCACCAAAAATGTCTCATAGCTCTACAAGCAGGTTCCTTAGCCTCATGTGCCACAATCAGATCTCACTTAATCCTCTTTTGATGATGTTCTTTTCTTTAATTGCTGTGAAGGGAGTTAATGTCTTTAAGAGTTGCAACTGCAGGGAATGCATTGTCATGTTTCAGGATTACACCTCTTCTTGCTGACCAGCCCTCTGTTCTCCCTGCAGCCTGGGGGTTGTGCTATCCAGGGGACACGGGGAGTACATTCTGCTGGGAAACACTTCAGTGGAAGAAGGTAGGTTAATCTGGAATGGCCCCATTGTCCTAACAGACAACGTTGCTACCCTGAAATGTACTACTTCTCTTCTCCTTCTCAGCCTCTATCTGTCTGTCTGCTACCTAATTGAATTCTGAGTCTATTATTTGGTTTTAGGTTTGCACGACCTGCTCCAGCCAGATGTGTCTTTAGCAAACGAATGGTAAGTGGAGGAAATCCTGTCAAAGACAGAGAACTCTGTCATGAGATTTTGACAAAATTCCCAACAATTTTGCTTGAGTTCACCACCCTCAGTGGCCTAGAAAAAAAGCAACACTGTTCAGGGACAACAGCTTCGGAAAGAACTGAGAGTCTCAGGGCAATGTAGTGGTACCTTCAAACCTCTATTCCACCTCTTCCTTTGGGGGATCCCACCAAGGCCTTGTACATCACCCAAGAACCATCTCCTATGATTTATTCTCAGTATTCTGCACTCCGACTCATTTTGTTCCTCCTCGTGATGCTCAGAATTGTGCTGCAAAACTCACAGTATGTCAGACCTGTCAGTGAATTTTGTAGCAAACTTAGAGAGAAACTGAAACGTTTTTTTAAAATTGTTGCTTATTTTTGGTTGACATTCCTCTGAACTAAGTCTAGACCTAATTCCTAGAGAACACAAAGGTGATTTATGACTGCTGTTTCAATAGCATGCATAATTTAGAGTTTTGCTTGGTTTGGATAGAAGACAGGGTAAAACATGGCACTTTCCATTTATTGCTGTGAGCTTTGGGATTTTCATGAACCCAACATTCAGTTACCCTCAGGCACGTGAACCCAGCCTGCATCAAAGCCAAAATAACTATATTCAAGAAGCCCCACAGTCCTTCACACCTCTCATTACACTGTCAAGTTTCATAGGCAGAGCACTTGAGATGCATGCAGTGACTTCTTCTACTCCTAACTTGGGGTGTCAGCTTACCACATTTTACATATTCATTTTTCCTAGACTTTCCTCATAAATCATTCCTTTCAGCTCCTTAATGAGATGCAATTCTCTCACAGAATCCCTTCCTTTCCCTTGTCCCGACAATGAAGCAGTCAGAATTGGAAGCAGGATTAGAAGGCTGGTTTCTTTTATTATACAGACACCCGCACTTGTAAAACATTCTCTCATTTCTCCCTTAAATGCATCCTACAGCAATGTCCCATTGGAAAGTTTTTGTTGACACTGTATCATACTGCAGGCTCATTCCTCATCTCACAGTTGCATCTCTGTCTCATTTTTTTCTTCCCAACCCAGTGTTACTCACTCTGCATGTGGCCCCCTGCTTTTCAGGTCTCTCCATCACATTGTTTTTGTGTATAAATACAAAGGTACACATATTACACAGTGTACAATATTGATAAATCTGCTGTAATTGTTTGGGACTGTTAATATATTGCATTATGAGCTTATGCTCGTAGCCCTACTATATTCGTGGGACATTCAAGCACAGCCATCAGTTGATGCTTGGTTTTACTGGTAGGGCTTCACTTAAAGCCACACTGATGGAGTTTGAGTAGTCATGGTGTGCAACAACAGCAAACTCTTTGCACTCTAAGCTTTCTTGCTGAATTCCTGTTTGCAGTTATTATTCTCAAGAAGCATTTATTTGATGATGATTTCTTTTTGCCTTTTTGGGCTTCTCCTTCCTTACCCACCAGGATTTACTGCATCACAGACATCGATCCAGACCATCGGAAGCTCAGCCAGCTGGAGGCTGTAATCCGGTTCCTCACAGGAGAGGAACCTGACCTGGAATGTAAGTTCTCATCATCCCAAAGGCCCTGCTGAGTTTTCCTCTACCTGTCACAAAGGAATGAGAACTGTAAAGCTGATTGGTATCAGGCTGAGTTCCCGAGGCTCCTGTTCATGCTGGCAGGGCTAAATCTAAGCCTAGCTTAATTCACAAGTGGAAATGAGCTGAGGATCCACTTCCTTGTCTTCAGCAGAGATATTTTTTTTTGCCATTTCGAAGCTGTCACATAACTTGACTTCTCTGAGAACTTTACATACGTAACATCGAGAGGCTTGAGTAGCATGTGGTGGGGGCTGAACACCTCGTTCAGATGGGCCAGCCAGCAGGACAAGAAGGATGATGGGAGGAGGATCCAGAAAGCTGCTGTGGCTATTCTGCTCCCCAGAGCTTCAGCTAGCATCCTCTGAGGGTTGCACCACGCCATGGAGACTGATGAACACTTTCAGAGAAATGTTACTAATTGTGTTTTCCAAACATAATTTGTAATTGATTTAAGGGAGAAAAAAAATGTTGCAGAATGATTACCTTCCTTGCTGCTCATCCCTTGTAACAGGTCTGATTCTCCATGTGAAGTGCAGCTGATGTAGCACCACTACAGAGTGAGATCTCTGTTGGTAGACAGAAGTGGGCAACTGTGCATAGGATCTCCCTACAGTACTTTAGGATGTCCTTCAGTTCACTCCGCTCTCCATGGCTTCAGCCTTCTTAGTCATGCAAAGTGCTGAATCAATATTCTGTATGTAATGATTCTAAAAGGATTCAAAGAAACCTTTGATACAAGGATTTCAAGGATTTGAATCTCTTAAAACTAGACGTAAATGTAATCTGTAATCTGATAATTGCTCCTCTCTTACACTGTATGAACAGACCCCTCCTGACTGTTTTGGAGAAGGCTGGAAAGAGATGTAGTAGATGAAGAGGCCAGGAAGCAGGAGGAAAGTTTTGGGAGAACTGACTGGGAGAAGCATGCAGATTGGAAGTGCTGTAAGAGAGAAAGAAATATGACTAGGACACAACCTAGGCATGTAGGGCCTGAGGAAGAAAAGATCAGCTGGTGACCTCTGATTTTGAGTTCTGAATGACAGGGAGATGGAGAAATGTATCATGCAAACTGTGATAAAGAAAGATTAGGGGATACCTGGAAGCTCAAGCCAGAATGTGAAGCCAGAAACACTGAAACAGAGGGGATGGCTCTGCCTAGAACAGCACTGGAAGGGCCACATCTGCAATACGATAGCCATCACGTCCTCATGCTGTGAGACAAATGGAAATAGGGCAGCATAGAAATGAAGCAGGTCAAATGAATAGGATTTTAGACTATACCATTTAGCACATAATGATATCTCAAACTTTTCTAAACGTCTCTAAGACCCCATGCAGACTGGACTGAACTGGTAGTCTAGACTGGTCAGGTGTCTGGGGGAAACCAGGACAGGAGAGCATTTTGTGAGACTCACAGTAAAGGACAGGTGGTTAACTAAAGGCCATCAAGAAGTCACTAGGGGCTCTGAAGAAATCTTCTTGAGTGGAATGGGGTTGATGGCATCCTCACAACAGGACACCCAGAAGAAAGGTTAAGGCAGGCATCTGAGGCAAAGCCTGATGAATAACTTCATTTGGAAGCCTCTCATTTGCTTACACTTTCAAACCTAAACCCTTCCATTGAGTTTGCAGGGGAAACAGTGTTATAATCTGAGCTGTAACACCTCGTCCTGTCCTCTTCCATCTAGGATTGTAGGTCATATTTTTAGTCCTAGAAATGGAGGCCTCATTTGTGCCTGTTGCTCCATTGCCCAGGGTCAGGCAGATGGTCCACAACAAGAAACTCTGAGACATCTATGGGGACACATCTTTCTCTTCTGACTCTTGCTCACCTTCCTCTGTAGGCGATGAGGAGTTGGTCCAGGAAGTGCTGTTTGATGCAGTGGTCACTGCACCCATGGAAGCCTACTGGACAACACTAGCCCTCAATATGTCCACGTAAGTGACTGAGAAATAAATACGTGTAACACACTGTTGAAGCTGTGTTTCCAGATGGCGTGGAAAACAGTCACAGATCTCTGCAAAGCATATAAGAAACTTTAGAAATAGCTCAAAAAGCTGTTAGAAGTAGCTCAGTAGATTTAGAAATAGCTCAAAAGTGTCTCTGAGGAGAAAACTCCAGCTGGTTGGGCTCTCTAAAGGAAGCCTGTAGTTTGGTGAGGGATTGTTTTGGTAACAGAATATTAATGCCAAATGTCTGACTATTACTGGAAGACAACAGTGATCCAGATGTGTCACTGCAGGGGGTGTTCAGCATCAGTTCTTCGCTATGTTTAACTTGGATGCACAGCATTTATCTCTGTAGTTGACAGTTTGGGATCTCGGGGCACTTGAGACTGCTTCAATTTAAAATTAGTATTGGAGTTATTTCCCTACGCACCAGTTATCCCTTTGAATGACAGCAACATGGTTTGGATTGACTTCCACATGACTGTAGCAAAAGCTACATCCCAGCTGGCATGGAATTTGTTTCCCTACTAGCAGTGGAGAAGAGAGTTTGGTCTTGTTTCTGTTGTTGATGCCTGATGAGAACTGAGACTCAGGAAGGAAGAAGACAGGCTGGCTTCAGCAAACATTCCTCTTTATTATTCCCAGTGAGGCATCTGATGCTAGTAGTATCTGGTATCATGTCACACACCTACTTTCAGCAAACAACATGCTATTCATAGAGGTGTGTGGCCACAGAACTCCTGTTCCTGTTTCAGTTACCACTATCCCTACTGCTGAGGGAGATTGAGCCAGGGCAGTTGTGCTAAATCACCCAAATACCAGCACCGTCCTTCAGCAGCTACACCAGAAAATCTCTCTCATCTGTTCCGTACCACACTACGGCAGACTCCTCACTGTGCAGCTCTCCCACCAGTGCCCTTCGTAACTCCAGAAAACCTCATACAAATCAATCTACAGTCAGTCTGCTACCCTACCTGTCCTGTGCATGCCTGACACAGCCATTTTCTCCCTGCAGTCTGTCTTCCTTGATTCAACCTACATGCGGGCAGCCTGGAGCAGAGCTAGCAGGAGAGCAGCTTCTTTTCTACTTCCAAAGAGCCAAATGAGCAAGCTTCCAATGTGTCAATCCAGGCACAAGTCTAAGCCTGCCAATTGTTAGCTAGTAAAAACTTGCTGTCATTAATGTGTTTTTATTCCACAGGGATTCTGAGGCAGGAATTGAGATGGCATTTCTGGGCACTCGGGCTGGACTCATGAGAAGTGCCCTGTATGTGGGCTCTGAGAAGCTTTCTAACAGGTAAGTCCCTAAGCTGCACTAAGGGATTTCTCAGTGTCTCTGAAGGTGTCTCTGAAACCACTCCCAGACTTAGAAAAGTACTTGAGGACACAGAAAGAAAAGGAGCAAGACCTTGGTGGCATGGGAACTGATTTACAGAATCAGGGTACAGGTCCTTTATGTTGCTCTTGTCCTTTTGATTTTTTTCCTGAAGTGCTGTCCCAAAATGCATTAATTTCATTGTAAAATAAGAAACTTCTATTATTCACTGACTTCAGTCAGCTAACAGAGAAAATGTCCATCATTATTATATATCCCCAGGAGCATTCTGTAATGTAAAGGCTCTGCACTCCAGTGCCCTATGACATCCCAGCTTGGCTAGGTTTGATCTTTCTGTCTCAGTTCTTCTCTGTTTTATTCTGTTCTGGCTCTCACATGGCCGACATCACATTACTACCCCAGTATCTTCCAGTGATGCATTAAGTGATGTGACTGACATCTGTCATATATGATTCATTCTCTTGTCCCCTCCCTTAAGGCAAAAGTGCATGTTCAGTGGAGGTTTTCGACATGGAAAGGGCATAGATTTTCGTTGTTGGTTAGTTTCGAACATGCAAACTGATAACATGCTGCTGTATGAAAGGACAGGTTGCAGAGGCAGATGGAACAACAGGATGGTGGTGGTGGTCCTTAGCTTCTTGGCAGGTGTTTCACTATCTCCCACTTTCTCAGATATGAATCATATGTCAAAAGCAGAAAGCTGCACTGTGCCTGAAGTGCACACCCCGACAGCCACTCTCGCCTTGTTTCTGAGACAGTCTTTGAATAACTTGGAGTACTCAGGCTTTGGTGTCAAGGAAGAAAGAGTGCTATAGAAAGCTAATAGCATAACTCAGTACCCCACGCTGCTCATCAGGAGCGTTGCTCAATGCTTGAACAGTTGTAGTCACTACATTTCAATGACAGATCCCCACACGTCACAGGAGAGGCACTTTTGGGATCTCTTGAAAGGAAGGAATTGTATAAATGAGTAACCGTTGTTATGACAAAACGTTCATCGAAAGGAGAGCCTGAAAACAAAGAGGATTTGTCAGCCAGGAAGGAGAGCTCTCCAGGGAAGGCAATGACCCGATTTTTTTCCAGGGCTCTCCTGAGCTGCCTGGCACGCCATGCCCCAGCACCCATACTCTTGTCTTCAGAAGCACCTGCTTCCTCAGGTTCTTTAGTCCGGGCATCGCTAGGAGCTCAATATCTAGCATCTCGTTTTGCCCCCCGGCCCTGCCCGGCGCTCTCGCACGGCTGCATCCAGGGGAGAGGTGGAGGAAGAGGAGGACGTATTCCCAGCGCTCAGGGCCGTTGCCAAGGCCAGAAGCCGAGGCAATCCCCTCGCTGTCCAGCCGCAGGGCCGCGACCTTCCCTTGCCCGTCCTCGGGGCTGGCGTGGGGGCGATGGCGGCGCCGCGGGCCTCGGCCTGGGCAACAGCGGCACCTGGCGGGCGGCTGGCAGCGGCGCGGCGGCCGCGCTGGCCCAAGAGCGTCGGGCAGCCTGGCGGGGGGGCTGCCGGGCCCCGGGACTTGCAGAACGCGGCTCCCCGAGCAGAGCTGCCCTGTGCAAAAGGCGACTCTCCGTTTTCTTCCGGCAGGAAATTCCTGACTCGGAAGGACAAAGAGAGTATCTTCACCATGGACCACTTCCCTCTGTGGTACCGCCGGGCAGCCGAGCATCCCCCCGGGAGCTTCATCTACAGCATCGTTTCAGAAGATGACTCAGGTAACCTCAGCCTGAATGCAAGAAAAATGAAGAGAAAGCTTTGGGCTCCTTCCGATCCCTTTATTGCCTCTGTCGCACAGTGAGAATTGCAGAGGTCAGGCCTCATGATGTTTTGCACACCCGGAGTGCTGGCAGAGGGTCAGAACCATCAGGGCAGTGGCCAGGACTGACGAGGAATATCAGCAAACACTCAAGAATTGACTTCACAGGGTGTCTTTTTTTTTTTTTTTCCATCACTGCTTTCCATGACAGGAAGGGATGGGTTTGTTGGGGAAGAAAGTGCAGGAAAAGGGAGGAGTGCTTTTCCATTGTTTCCTCTTCAATGAGAGTGTGCCATTGGTGCCCGATGTCCCCTCCATCACATCACTCGACTATATCACCTCATACTCAGCAAAAGAGTTCAAACACCAGAGAAAAGCAAGGAGTGGCTTTTTGGTGTCTCTTGCTTAGAGTGTTGATTCCTGTGAGCTTGCAGAGCCAGCCAGGACTTCCTCAAAGGCTGGAAGAGAGCAGAAGAGCCTGGAAATTAAGAAATCAAAACAAAACCCTCTTATGAGACTCCTACACAGAAGGTGGAAATCCCCTCTGCTCCCCAGCCCCTAGCACTCAGTCTCTGTCACAGAGCTCAGCGCTTTAGCTGTCAAAGCTTTTTGTGGCACAGTGGTGGGAGGCTGGTAGGTGGAAAAGCAAGTAGCAAAATGGAGAAAACAACACAGGGAGGCAAGAGATGAACCAAGATGTAAAGAGAGAGGTGGAAGGTGGAAATACTTGAAAACTTCCACCAAAGCCTCTTTCTCTGCATAGCACCTTTACATCTCACTTAAGTGGCAAGAGAAAGAAACAGGCATGGCAGGAGAAACCTTGCACACAACAGCGTTTGTTCTTTGAAGTAGATATTGGGCTAGGAAAACAGGCAGGAACACCCTATAGGGCCCTCTGGGATAGCCACAACTCAGGTACGTTATAAGAAGTAATGCCTGCCCCTGAATACTTCATGCTCTAAATTGCAGAGGTGATTATTAGTCATTTTAGAGGTGAACAGTTCAGCCCAGTGAAACTGTGATCTATGGGATCATTCAAGATGACTGTGAAGAGTCCAGAAAATAATACCCAGTTCCCCTGAGTTACTGTGCTTACTGTTAGAGTATATGAGTTACTGTGCTTACTGTTATAGCAGATTCTGAGCATTTCATTTGACATCCTTAGAAGCAAACCTTTTGGCCAGAACAGGCCACCCAGTTTCTCAGGAAGTTCTTGTTGATTACATTCTTAAATACCCTTTCCATGCTTTCTGCAAGTTTGTGTATGCCCACCATGTGACAAGGAGTTTTCACAGCAGATGCTCTTCTGATCATGTAAGAGGCAAGAGCTTGATGACTCCTGTGTTGGGGAGGAGTCCAGTGGGGAATGGTTGCAAGTCATGAGAGTAATTTATCCAGTGTACCTCCTTCCAGAGTCCAGAGGTCCCAGAGACATGACAGCAGGGAAAGCTCTGCAGGCTGCGTAGGACTGTTCTTGCAACTCAGATCTCTCATGTGTTGGGGTTCTTTGCTTATTGCTGTGTTTTGCTAATTTGTTCCATTCCAGGGGTGAGCCTGAAATGTGGGGTTCACCACAAAGGCATGATCAGGAGCAAGGCATGTCAGCATGAGTTGGCTAGGTCATTGTTTCACAGAGGCTTTACCAGTTCTTCTGACATCCTTTAGTAAGTTAATCTGACTTCAGTCAAAAAAAAAAAAAAAAAAGAGAGACTCCAGGCTAAACTGCAGTAGCCACTGAATCATGCTCAGGATATGCTGGGTACCAACAAGAACGATGACAGCAGAAATGGAAAACAGTAACAAATGCTTGAGCTCTTGGGAAGGAAAAGATCCCTGACCCATCCATCCGAGCGGGAGTTTTCCATCCAGCATGCGAGGAAGGAGTCAGTCACACATTAAATCGATCATGCTGACCTTCAAACTGTCCCCTGGCAGTTTCAAAATAGGTGCCCCAGCTGAAGCTAACCTAATCACTTAAAAATACAAAATTGAATCAGTCACATGGGCAATTGCAGGCTGAAACAACTGCACTAACAAAGACAGAGGACGTGGGGCTCAGTTGCTTAAGTCTATCCAGCCATGCTATTTTAATTGCCCTGTGGGATACAAGAGATCTGCATGGGGCTGGCAGATGGGACACGGGACCTGCAGGGACACTTGAAAGAGCAACTAAAACATAAACAGGATACCCTTGGGCATAACAAAGTTTAAACAGCCAAATATATCCCATAAGACTTTGTTTCTAAAATGGACTGCGCTCTGGAAGTACACTGAGCACTGTGTTTGTCTCTCCAGTTCATAATGCTAGTCTGTCTTGGGTAGCAGAGCTAAACATAAGCATGGCCTTTGCTGCATAGGGCCAATGTCAGAATTCCTTGTCCTGCTTCTACTCTGCCTGCAAAGCTTAGCTGGGATGTGAAGCAAAGCAGCTTTCTGGCCTAAGAGCTCTGCCTGTTCAGATTGGAAGAGGCTGATCCTTTACATTTCATGCTGAAGATACCACTTCTATCACGAGATAAACGAGTCTCCTTATTTATTAGCCCTTTAGGTCTCTTAGCGTGGTTTGGAAGATGCATTCCTCCAAAGCTCTGGATCCTTCAGTGCTGAGGCATCTCTATGCACTGATCTGGATGCAAATCCTGCTGCATTTTCCTAATCTCCGGTGGTGAATTTAACCAAGTCTGCTGTTTTTGTGTGTTGACAGAGGGCGGCGGCCTACCAAAAGTGGTGACAGTTAGCACGGCAGTGGCTGTATCTGTTGATGGGAAGATGGGTATTGCTGCAGGTAGGAAATTTCTGACTTTTCTTCCTCTCTTGAATGAAATGGTAGCATCTTGTATTGAGAGCGGGAATTGAGAGCTGTTTTCTTGTCATTCAGCGGAAGTGACGGGAGCCACAAATGATTGTCCTGTTGAAAACTAGGCTAAACAAAAAGGTACAAATGGCTGACGTGTCTTTGGAAGGGAAGCTGGCTGTCTGAATGGAAACTTCCTATCTTCAGTGCCAGTGACTTTGTGGACTGAGACTGGCTATTTCCTTGGAGCATGAGCAGGTTGAGAAATCTGTGCAAGTTTTGAACTGTTTCGAAAGAACAGCACATTCCTACATCTTTATTGTTATCTCAGCTGAAAAATAACTTCTGTTGGTGGAATGGGCTTGCTGCTGGATTTCCAACTCATATATTAGATTTCTAAACTTCTCTTTCTATCTGAGCTTTGATCCCCATTTGACAGACTTTCACCAGATTCTGCATCTACTTTTGGAATACTTGTAAAGCATAGTATTTCCCTCAAAATCCAAAAGCTTTTGAACCCGAACCTTTACCATTTTCAGTAGTAATTGCTTCTGAGAGAAGGCTCTATTTAATACCTTCAAATCACTGTCAGCCATTTATTTTACGTAGACTAGGTAAACCCAGGTGCAGTAGATGAGGTCTACTATTAAGTTAAACTATGGCATTTTAACTTCATCTGATGAACTTCTCCTTGATTTCCAGGCTCTCAGTAAGTTCCAGCTGAGAGTAGTACTCTCTAAGTATCACATGTGGTTTGTGAGAGTACTTATAATCTTAGGGACTGATGATACAAAATAGTGCTTTTCAATTCTATTCCACCACTTCAAATCCAAACAACGGAATTTATTAGGAAGTGAAGCCTGTCCAGAGATTCTTGTGAAATAGAGGTGTTTTCAGTACAGTCCATTTTAATTAAGTGTTTGAGTCGTAGAAAATACTCCCCAAACTGATACTAGCTGTCACTTTACAAGTACACTGGCAGAGAATGAAATGGCATTGAGATTATGCTAAGTGTGCAGCTCTGAGACATTTTTCTGGCAACGAATTTGAGAGGAGAAAAAAAATGCTCTTTAAAAAAGATTATTCTTCATGATTCTTTTTGTTTCTTTTTGTTTCTTTTCCTGACCTGTGAGCTAGAACAGAGACACAGACAGTTGATTTGGCACTCAACATAAATACTAGGAAGGAAACTTCTAGGTAGAAGAGCTAAAGCAAGAACAAGTGGCTGTAGGAGCTGCCCCTGACAGAGCCAATTCTCTTCTGTCAGCAGCACTTCCCACAACCCCTGTGGAGATTTCCACCCCCTCAGTTATCCTGGATGCTGAATCGACTGTCTCTGTGGACATGGTGTGAAGGGGCAGAATCCTCTGCTGTGGGAACAGAGGGTGGAGAAAGCAGCAGAGGACAGGGGAAAAAAAACTGTCAAAACAAAAATCGCAAGGTAAAATTTCCGACCTTTGTGGAAATGATACAGAACAAATGATTTTCCTCATTCATAATCAGAGAAACACAGAAGTGAATTCTCAATTGATTTTGTACTGTAGAGATACCATTGGTCCTTGTCGCAAGTAGGCATATTCAGTGACATGACCACAGTCATCTGCTGCTTACTTTCACATGTAGTATATTCAGCAGCACTGAAGGAAACATTTTCTCCCAAAGGGTCTAAAATCCTTCGGGCTCCAGCTGTAGCCTTTACTGACTTCAGTGGAAGTGCAAGGGTTTCCTGAGGTACATCCCATCTGCTATACTGGGCAGAGGTTTACAACTTGCTGTGGGGCTTCAGGGAGGGAAGTGGCACCTTTTCTTTTGTTTCCAGTAGTGAATAGGTTAATCATCTGAATCTTTCATAATTCCACTAGTCATTAAAAAAAAAAAAAAAAAAAAAAAAAAAAAAAAAGAAAGAAATGAAAAGATTTACCCATTACAATACTATTTGATCTTGAGGATAGCAGGTATGAGAGTAAGTGTATATGTCTCCCTTTGCTCCCTACACACTAGTGCTGAGTGGCTAGGACCTGGTTCTGGGGAACTTCACCCCTCAGTGGAGGCTGCAGCAGAGATGATGCTGCAATATGGTCCTGCCCCCACACTGGGTACAGGAGAGAGGTGAGGGAAGGAGGGTGAGCGAGGCACAACAAGAGACAATCAGAGCAGAATGGGATGCAGATTGTTATTATTATTGTTATTCAGATGGCATCAGCCCTTGGTGAGCATGGTAATTGTGCTCATGTAGAGTCAGGAAACTACCAGAAATCAGTCTGGTACCCAGCACTTGTTCCCAGAGAGCCAAATATCTGCATAGTCTTGTACTTTCTGGATAAACCCTGTCACAGTTCTGTAAAGAGGGGACAACAGAAGGCTTTTTAAGTGCCCCTATAAAAGTGCAATTTGTATGAACTGGCCTGTCATTCTGCCACTGATTGTTACTGTCATTTCCTTGACTTGATGGTGCTTGGGGGGATTTGTAAGCACTTTGAAATGTTCACTATGCGTGCAGTGAAAAATTAAGCTCTAGGATTTACAGCTGTGCCTTTGGGGAGGGGGTACCCCCTGTGCCCCTGCAAGGAGGACGCCGGTGACAGGGCCCCTTTTGTTCTGGCAGCTGAATGGCAGGCCCCAGCCAAGGCAGAGAAAGGCAAACTCCTAAAATCAAATGTCCAGGAAGATGACATCGGCCTGGGCTCTGTCAGAGAGCGAGGGAGCTGTCAGCTAGGATTAGGGAGCAGCTGGGCTGGAGGGCTGAGAATAGAAATGGAGGGGGAGCATGGGGCCTCCGTCCCCCTGGTTCTGCATGGCTTGGTTCAGCCAAGCCCATGAACCTGGGGCATGTGGGACATCATGCGGACATTTTGAGGGCTGGAGGTACCCGCAGGTCTTTCAGATAACACAGTGGAGCCACTTATGTGCGTTGGATTGGACTAGTCTCAGAGTCAGTGGGAAGCCAAGCTGGCGAATCCACAGCTATACCTGTTCCTTTGAGTTCATACTATCTACCCGCTATATTGTGCTCTGGCAGTTCAAAGCACTATGCAAACATTAACTAATGCCTGGATGATTAATTATAGTTAATTAGCAGGCGGCTGTTCTCCTGGGATGTCAGTCAGTACCTTTCACAAGCTCTAACTTAGTTGGAAATGAAAAATAAGGAATCGTGATGGCACTCTCCTCAAGCCAAGTCCTGCCCCAGATAGCACTGTCATCTGCTCCCTCCACTGAGTCAGTAGCCTGAGGCTTTATGGTCCTCCGGGGGGGGTGGGGAGGGGTGTGCTGCAGAAATCACATGTAGTTGCTGACAGCAGATTTTAGTGATTTAAAGCCCCAGTGAAACTGCTGGAATCTGCGCAGGAGTTTAACTGTCACTTTGGTCTGGGTATGATGTCTCTTTTTATTGCCTTTTGTCTGTTTGAGTTATGTGGTGGTCAGCTGGCTGCCAGTCAGAGCAGGGACAGGTAAGGTCTTCGTTCTGGTGGACTGGTTCCATGCCATTGCTGTCATGTCTTGGGGATGGGAGATGACTGATACCAGCAGAACGTGGGGTGTGCACAAACTCCATTGTCCCCAGTAAAACAAATAGAGTATCCAGTCAAGCAGCTGGGAGATCCAGATTTGTTGTATGCAATACCTCTCACCTCTGTTTATATTCAAAGGTAACGTTCCTTCTTATTTACAATGACTATGGCACATTGAAATTGTTACCCAGTGATGATAACAGTATGCACAGATGTGTTTGGAAAGAGTCTTAGGCAAGCCTAAAGAAGACAGAAAGAAGTATCATTCCTATTGTACAGAGGGAGTTTGGGGACACCAAGTTATTAAGGCCAATATTTTCAGAAGAGCTCTGGACTCACAGCAGGAGCAGATTTCAAAAAAGCTTAGATTTTTTTCAAAAGTATTTGAAATCAGTCAGTCTGAAAAATGGATAATGGAAAGTAATTTTGCCATTATACCACTGGTTAAAATCCAACCTCTATCAGTATGATGGAAGCTCTTCATTTGAAAAGCATTTACTGGCCAGCTTGACGTCTCTCCATCCTCTTCCTTGGTCCAATTTTGGCTTCCTGCTGGCTGTTACCAGCAAGCAGAGGGAAGAGATGCAGGTGCCTTTTTCAGCAGTTCTGTTTCTGTGGCATCTTTTCAAACTAATCTACACGTAATTCTGTATTCCTACTGTTTTGCTGTTTGGGTGGATAAAACCTCCTCTCTGTTCCTCTCCAGAAAGTTGAGAGAGTTGCACCTGCGGAAGCAGCTAGGATGCATGGAAATTAGCTATAATGACATGAGCACCTTTTGCACTGAAATAGACACATCCAAGCGAGAGGATTAAAGCGATTTTACTAGATTGACTTGGAAACCAGCATGATATTACCAATAAAAAGTCTGAGAGCAGCTGATCTCCTGAACGTGTGCTGCCACATTCAGAAGGAATGCTGTCCTTCTTTTAATGTTGCACGTTGTGCCAACATGGTTCCAGTGGGGGGATGTCAGAGAGCTTCTGAGGCATTGCATGGGAGTCTTTATGGAAAGGCATGATCTTCTTTGCATTCAATCATAGCGTGGGCAGAAAGAATGGACACCCAACTCATTTTCATCCCACTACCTGCTACTGCTAGTTTCTGTCTAATGCCATTCCTTCCTGGCATTCCCTGAAGCCTAAGCAGTTTCTGAGGCAGCCCTCTGATCTGACAAAATAAGAGACATCTGAAGGGGCAGCGCTTGGAGCTCAGGCATAGGAAGCATCAGGGGCAATCAGTAAGGCAGAAGCGCTTGTGGTTTTAGTACTACCAGCAGCCGTGCCTTCTCCACCTCTCAGGAGATCCATCTGGAGGCTCTTATCTGTGAGTACTCATTTGATTGGACTAAGAGTTGAGCCAGTCTTCTGCAGGCCAGGTTATTGGCATCACGCAGTGCCAGTGACGTGCCAAGAGCAGTATCTCTCCATTCTCCGTTATGTATAGATGTCTCCACAAACAGACAGTAGCTACTGACAG